CAAATGGTAATGGCGGGATAGGGCGGATGCAAATGCTTCGGTTTTTAGGTGAATTTGTTTCCACTCTCGCTGCTGCAGAGCGCGGGAACAAAAAGTGCTTCAAAAGGTTGGGTTTTCGAGTACATCCAGAGTGCAGTAGCTTAGAAACATCGCAGCACCGTTGATAAAGTGATAGCGGTAACTGCGTGGGGATCGGGCTTCGGGGCAGGAGCGTTTTGCTGCTGCTTCAGGAGCGCATAGCAAAACTTTTAGTTTATAAAGCAATTGAAGAGCAACATTTCAGGACTAAGCATCCGCTGAGTTGAACTTTGTATCAGCTCGTATGATCATGACAGCTGTGTCCGTCAAAATGTTTTGCAGGCATTCAGCAATCGCTAAAGTAAGCTTGTACGCGTCAGCAGTACGTGGCGATCTAGCGCGATCGTTTGTGCCGCGGCAGGCTCGACGGCCAAGGTGCGATCTTGATCGCAGTAGCAGTTTGAGGCAGGTTATCAATCACCGTGCACAGACGTCTGTCCCCATCAAACCATACCAGCAACGCCATGACTGGATTGCACTTGCCCAGCAAGCTCATGATAGGAAGGAATGGGAATATGGCTATAAGCTGCATAACTATGTCACATTAAGGCGAATGCTGCTTGGATCGCGTTGAAGTGAACTGCAGTTATGGAACCTTCGGTAAAATTGCTGTGATGGGCTTCCGATGACTTGCGCTGCTGGTAGATTAGTATGTAACGGAACTTTGCCGCAGTTTAGAAGGTGGATTTCTTCTCACATAGATTTCAAGGCTTTAAAAAGGACAAAAATGATTGTGTGTACTTTTGGTAGGTCAGTACACAGACATCGTGGGTGACTTCCAAGGAAACAAGCAGAAGCGATAGAAACGCTGGAAGGGAGACGCGTGAAAAGCTGCCGCGTCACCTTGCCCCGCCCTCTCCCCCCCCCCCCCCTTCACATCAAAACATGAACTGTCAAGTGGCGAATTTGAACGGTCATGGTCATCAGATGCACTCAAATCCTTAAGAAATCCACCGGCATTAGAAGCATGTAGGAATGTCATTGTGACTATATTGTTACATGGATACGAAGCACAAATAGACCATCACCATGAGCAGTTCAGTGTTCACGGCCTTCGCGTGCTTCACACGAGCCAACGTTGCCAGCGTTAACCCTGGTCGTGCTTTGTGGAATTGGCTTGATCTGTGTGAGTTGTAAGCGCAGCTGGCCCAGCATGTGTCTGACAGCTCACGCCCAATCAAGCACCATCATGACGAGGATCGGAGACCCGCTGCAGTGCGGCAGAGCCGTGGAGTGTATGGCATGGTGTGTTGTGTGTTGTTCTGCCGGCTATTGGGGCCACCGGTATCCCATTGGAACGGTTCGGCCGTCAAGTGATTCAGCTCTGCTTTCGGCGCCACTTTTAACTCTGACCTCCATTTTTAGCAACATTTGTATCCCATTCACCTTTTGCACGTCACCTGTTAACCACTCATACGCACTAGACGGTCACCGCTTGGATAGCTGCCAGCAGATTACGATCTTGGCGTATTGCTGGACACTGGGCCTTCTCACGCGAAGCGCGCAAATGCCGTCGTGCCCTCGTCAAGCGCGGTTCACTCACAAGGCTTTGCTTTGCGCCTTCAACGCTCATGTGAGATCATTGAAAGAGTGTCGCAGCGTTATTTGGAGCGGTGCTGCCGTTTCTCATCAACAGCACGTATCAAGGCACGCTTTGCTCAGTCTGACATCTCACTTCCATACAACGCATACCATCACAGGCTTGCCTGCGCTCCCCTCACATCACTGTTCAGTCTAGCTACACCCGTCCAGCGTTCTCGGCATGCCGGCCTGCACCACGAGCCATTTGCAAGGGTCAACAATGTTCAAAATGGATTTGCTCACCAATACCCACTGTTCGCAATCACTTTTTGCAGCAATCTCCCTCAACTGACTTTTTGCATCCAACAAAATCATTCCGATCTGATTTGTTTAGGTTCGCCGGCACACGTGGAGCATTCTTTTGATGACCGCTGAGTCTGAAAGTATGTGTGTGTATGTGTGTGTGTGTGTGTGTGTGTGTGTGTGTGTGTGTGTGTATGTGTGTGTGTGTGTATGTGTGTATGTGTGTGTATGTGTGTATGTGTGTGTGTGTGTGTGTGTGTGTGTGTATGTGTGTGTGTGTGTGTGTGTGTTTGTGTGTGCTTGGTTAGGTTTTTTGTTTGTGTGTGTGTATCGTGTATTTACCGCTTTTAAAACTGGACCGGTCCCGTAATCGAGCCTTTGTCTGTGGAATGCTTATGTCGTAAATAAACAAATAAGCGTCGGAAGCGGCGAAGTCAGAGAGGTCAATGGATGGCTAGCCACACTGGACAGGTCATCTCGTGCGTGTGTTGGCATCAGACAAACGCGAACAGACGTGGGTAGGGTCGGAACAACACAGGACCGATGTCGCCAGTGTTGTGCGGCATCGATGCCTGTGTTGACCAACGCGCGGCCAAGTGAGCGTGCAGGCGCTTGTTTGACTCCAAAGTAGCGACTTGTTTGCTTAGGTTGCGTTTGTTTTGGAGCAAAGCGCAAGTACGTGACAAATACCATGGTGGTTTTTCCTCTCGCGTGTGAGCCCCTGGCTCTTCTCACTTTGTTTTTCTCCACTGCAGTGCCTCAGTTCTCGCTAGTCATAAAGCCGAAGTCAACCAGCATTGCTGTATCTGGTGCAACTGCGAGCGTGCCGTTCACTTCACATCGCTCGCACGCGCGGTCGAAATCGTTCCGAGGCACTCCGTATTAACACTCCGTTTTGACTCCGTTTTTTTTTTCTTAGTATAATCAGGACAGAAAATGCATTCTTAAACAATATACAATGTTCAGGAAACAGTACGTCATTCAAGAAACGTCGTTAGGTTTCATCACAGAAATTGTTCGTGGTAATACGCTCGCACAATTCAGGGGAGTGTTCCATATTTTTATCGGATTTGAACTGAAATAGCCATCTTCAAGACCTTTCGGTGCAGTTCATAGCCTTGCCCTTTGTAAGACCTAAACCACCCTAGTTTTTTAGCTATACGCCCACGAAAATGGGGAGAGTATTTCTGAAAGGGTATTTCGATGTCACCTTGGCTTTCACAACGTCATGATGACGTCATTCAAATCTGCCATTCCTTAAACCAAGCGGTGACAAAAGCCAAGAAAAATATAATTGTCAAGTCGTTCATATCTGGCGTTCGTGAGCACGATTTCAAGATAAAACGACCATCAATTGGCTTTCAGTGTTGTGCAAGATATCATGACGTAAGCAAACAATGACGTATTGAAGAGCACACTTACTAAACGGAGAAATTGTATTGTCTAGAGTAGTCTTCTCCGCCTTTAAGTATACCGATAGTTATAAGTGAGCTTATTTCATCATGTCTGATGCTTGGTTCAATATCTTCAAATGCGAAACATTCCCTATAAGCACAACACTTGTCTATGTCCAAACAGGTCCGTTTGAAAATAGCACACAGCCACGCAACGTGATCTGTTGGTCTCCGTATGAGGGAGAGAGAGGGGAAAAAAACATAAAAGCTCTCCTAATATTTCGCATGGCATGAGCAGTTCACATATGCAACGGTAGGTTCTTTTCGTAAAGCTGCAAACATCCATGCGAAGGGGTTTGAAATGCCTGAGATCTAAAGAGTTGCTGCATTGCCCGACCGTGGAAAAAAATTGATACTGAAGTGTCACATATTCTCCATACATGGAAATATAGTACAAGATGTTTAAGTCATTGCAGTCAGTTGCATAGGCTGATTGTAAAATAAACAGCACGAACCTACTTTTAGCACAATTTGAATAAGTTCTGACACTTGCGCAACAGAAAAACCGAAATCCCATCATTTGCACACTTTTGTTCCAATCTGGTAACCATTTATTTTCCAATGTAAACAGCGCTATTATTCACTCCGACCCAGATGGCTCCCCGGTCTGGAATTACTCGTGTTGCCGTATTAGGGTGGTGCACTAATTCTTCAGATCCTGGACCCTTAGAGCTACCTTACGTTTACCGAAGGAAACCACCGTTGAATATCATGGGGTCTTCATCAAGGCGATACATCCCCTGCAAATTATCACATGGGCTTCTTTTTGTCGTGCGGAGCATACAGTTCGGTTGATATTCCGGGAACATGCTTTTATCGAAACAATAGCGGCAGTGAATTCAATATTGCCTGCCGATGACCCCACTCGATTTTTTAGCTTTTTTAAGCAAGCCACAGTTTTTACCGGACGCCAACATTTATGGATTAGATAATACAGTAGTATTATCCTTATTCCTCGGAAAAAAGTCAGGAGAATGGAAGTATAGCTGGGTTAACATTTCGGCAACATGCCTCTATCGAAACAATAGCGGAAATAAATTACGAAGTAATTCACTTCAGAAGTGAATCCAGAAGTTATTTACATCTGCTTTTACTTCGATAAAGGCATGCTGCCGAAATATCAACCAAGATACACGTCCATTCTCCTGGCTTTTCTCCGAGGATAAGGCTAATACTATTGTCTTATCTATCCATTAAATCATGTGAACACGCTTCATCCAGACACGTTTGAAGAAGCCATGTGTGTTTTTGGTATTGGTTTTGGTCGGTCTAATGATGGTGCCTCAGCGTGCGTAGTCGAACGTAGCACAACACCCCGCCGCGCCGAAACCAGGTGCATAGCAGCGCCTTTTCAGCACCTTACGTTACCGGGCCTTGTCTAACATCTCTGATGACGCTCCACGAAGTCCGGCGGCACCTCGGTTCGACGGCACTGATAAACCGTCGCTGGGACACCGCAACGGATGCCGTCGCCTGCCCTCAAAATGTCCGGGCAGGTAGCTGGTGCGCTCACGCCGCACAACTCGACGCATCGGGCGTCCCCACGCGAGTGTGGAGCTGAAGCTGTGGATCGGAACACCGCCTCTAGCTCCACTCAACCAGTGCGTGGCTGGCAGCGGCCATTTTCCAGGAGCACCATCGGGCTGGATGCTGACACTTAGTACGTATATTATGTGCACACAACGCCCACGACATAAACAGCCAAGAACACGATATCATGGTAAATCCTCGTGGGGGGAGAGGGGTACACGTCTGCTGCCTTGGCCAAGCCGTCACAACCGGTGTTCAACTGCGAAACCGGCGTCGAGCCAGACCGACCTGGCGACTACCTGGCGTGCGCCGGAAGGCGACGCCGTAGACTGAAGACAAACGCCGGCAAGAAACGCCGGCACGCGAGGAGCCCGTGGAAGGTGGCCCGGCCCGCCGGACGCGGCCCAGCTGAGCTGCACGGGCGAGGAAGCAGAAACAGACAGATGGCCCACAGTGGCTCAACAGACAGCAACCGACTGCCCTCGCCACCCACGGTGGCCGCCGGACAGAATTAGTGTGCGTATCCATCGCCACACGGCACCGACGGCACGGGTGGCGCAGGGGCGGCCCGTCAAGCGCGCGCCGAAGAGAGCCTCGGTCGTAGGGCGTCGCCGAGGGAGGCGACACGGTGGCGATACAAGCACCACAAGACACGACATCGGCCATACCACGGAGAAGGCCGTCTGAGAGCCACACGTCCACCGGCCGGACCAACAGCCGGCAGGGCAGGGCGGGGTCGCCACTCGGAGAGAGCACCGCCGGGCGGGCCGACTCTACGGTGGGGTACACAGCGTTCGGAGCCGCACAGCCGTTCGCAGGCAGGAACAGGTGGTTTATACAGTGGGCGGGACTGTGCCTGACCGTGGGAAAGCTGTTCGGTCTCCCAGGCGTTACGGGCAACCTCCCAACCCAAAACTTGTGAAATGAAGCGGCACAGACCTCCAGAGAAATCCAGTTTGAGGGGCTACTTACAGGGGTTCTCTGGGACCTACACCATCCCCCTTCTCCCCGTCAAAGTTGATTTTAAACAACTACACCCGGCCGGAGGGTCTTCTATCAGCAAAACAGCAATGTGCCATCCTAAGTCCGCGCGTGCTCACTTGTCGACCCGGAACCCGCACGGTAGAGATGTCTTTTAGAACAAGAACTAAATGGCCCTGAAAATAACGTCATTTTACAGTGCAACGTGGGAAAAATATTGCATCTTATAATTTGATACACCTACGAAGGTGAACCAGACCACGCAAGCTCACACGAGCGGACTGTCCCCCGCCCTACTGGCGAGAGAACTCGGCGACAATGTCCGAAAGGATCTGGGTACAGCCACCGCACCACAACGCCAACAATACAACGTGAACAACAGCCGGCTATAATCTGACTCATGCTATATAATGGTCTGGCACAAGTCAGACACTAGAATCAGTCAAAAAATAGACATCATGTATGATAAATACGAGATGGCACCAAAATATTATTCCACACAGAAGCGCTTCAATGCTTCAAAACCAAACATAATCCGGTGAGCCCGAAAACGCTAACCAAACGAAGGCTTTGCCGGGCCACAACCGTTCCAGAGAAAGCACCAACACCCGACAGCGAGCCGCACAGACAACGATCCACAACTGGCCACAGGAGCAGCGCAGGCGCTTCGCCCTACTCTGGTGTCTTTGGGAGCGCCCCGTCTCAGGCCGACCTTGAAAGCTGGACCAGCCTGACGGCGCGGCCGACATGTAGCGGGAGGTCCGGCCCACGGCCGTCCGCTGCCCGCCGGCCGGCAGCCCGGCACAGAGCCGACCGGCGCCCGTCAGGCGGCCGCCTCACTGTCAGGCCGGCGCCGACAGCCAGACCGGCGCCGACAGTCAGGCTGGCGGCGATAGTCGGTGTCAGGGTGGCGCCGACAGTCTGTGTCAGGCTGGCGCCGACAGTCGGGCTGGCGCCGACAGTCAGGCTGGCGCCGACAGTCAGGCTCGCGCCTACAGTCAGGCTCGCGCCGACAGTCAGGCTGGCGCTAACAATCGGTGTCAGACCGGCGCCGATAGTCCGGCTGGCGCCCACAGCCGGTGTCACTACGTCGCAGCTTGTCAGACCGGCGCTGACAGCCGGCGTCAGTCCGTCGCAGTCTGTCAGTCTGGCGCCGACAGCCGGCGTCAGTCCGTCGCAGTCTGTCAGTCTTGCGCCGACAGCCGGCGTCAGTCCGTTGCAGTCTGTCAGTCTGGCGCCGACAGCCGGCGTCAGTCCGTCGCAATCTGGCAGTCTGGCGCCGACAGCCGGCGTCAGTCTGTCGCAGTCTGTCAGTCTGGCGCCGACAGCCGGCGTCAGTCCGTCGCAGTCTGTCAGTCTGCTGCGGTCCGCCCCAGCCACGCCCATCCCTTTCGGCTGCGTCAGTCAGTTTCGGTCGTGTCAAATCACCTCGGAGTAAGCGGCAGAACCCGTGCCAGCCATCTGTGACCGTGGTCTGCGACGTGCAGTGCCGCGGAGCATCGGACGGCAGCAGCCCATGCCGAGTCGCTGGCCTAGGTCAGACAACACACCGGCCTAGCCTCAATTGAGTCTGTACGTGCTGGATCGTGCCAGATTGCGTCAGTCCGTGTCGGCGCGCATAGGCCGCATCTGTCCGCGTCAGTGTTCAACGTCTGACCGTGTCAGTGTGTCAGTCAGTATGTAACGCGCTGCCTCAGTCAATGACGGTGTCACGCAGCAGCACCTCGTCCTCTGGCTGCGGCTGGCGCCGGTACCCGGTGTGCGACAGCAGGAACACCACCAGGCAGCAGAACACGGCCAGCAGCAGGCCGATGAAGTTGATCAGGTACGCCTCGGGCGGCAGGCTCGCGTACGGCGGCAGATCGTTCTTCTTCGTCCTGCCGGAGGTCACGGCACAGTGACGGCCGGCGCCCAGACGCGGTCCCGTGACCAGAGCGGCGCCCTCTCCAGACTGTCACGTGAACAGAGCGGCGCCCTCGCCAGACCATCACGTGAACAGAGCAGCGCCCTCTCCAGATCATCACTTGACCAGAGCGGCGCCCTTTCCAGATCATCACGTGACCAGAGCGGCGCCCTCTCTATATCATCACGTGAAGAGCGGCGCCCTCTCCGCGCAACTGTGCCAAGGCGGCTAAGGGGTGGGTGACAACCTGACGTCAGTGGTGAGTTTTAAATTACGACACTCAGGCGCTTGCATGGTTCAGGGGGTCCGGCACACCCCAGCTGGCAGGGCTACGGCTCTATCCGAGCCTTAATCCTCCCTCTCTCTTGCTAGCAGCAGGCGGTAGGACCTACCGTCTCCACACGGACACGCACAACACGGTGGCTCCCAACTCCTGACCCTGCCGCCCACAGCACCATTTGTAAGCCTCTGGATCATCGGCATCTCGGTTACCTTCTCCGCCACTCGCTGGCGTCCAGCCCTGGTGAAGTTCCTGCAAACGACGCAGTCAGGCGACGCGCACTCCGATAACGAAACAAAACACACCACCTTGGGAATTTAATAAACGAACCACACCCCAACCACGGTCCCAGCTGCAAGCGCTCAGCAGTGGAGACCCCCCCCCCCCCCCGCTCCTCCCCCCCCCCCCCCCGCGCGCGCGTTCGTCCACCAACTCACAGCGTGAAGATGGCCTTCTCGAGGAGGCCCATGATGGCGGCACCGCAGGCGGTGACGAAGATGGTCAGGCCGAAGAACTGGTGCCAGGGCAGGTAGCGGGCGCGGATTGCACCGCTCATGCCCGGCACCAGAAACGAGACGAACCCGATCACCCACTGCCGAGGATGTGAACACGGTCACACGCCGGGGAGAGCTGCCGCCACATGGACCCCATCACCCACTGCCGAGGATGTGAACACGGTCACACGCCGGGGAGAGCTGCCGCCACATGGACCTCATCACCCACTGCCGAGGATGTGAACACGGTCACACGCCAGGGAGAGCTGCTGCCACATGGACCCCATCACCCACTGCCGAGGATGTGAACACGATCACACGCCAGGGAGAGCTGCCGCCACATGGACCGCATCACCCACTGCCGAGGATGTGAACACGGTCACACGCCGGGGAGAGCTGCCCCCCCCCCTCCCCCCCCCCCATGGACCGCATCACCCACTGCCGAGGACGTGAACACGGTCACACGCCAGGGAGAGCTGCCGCCACATGGACCCCATCACCCACTGCCGAGGATGTGAACACGGTCACACGCCAGGGAGAGCTGCCGCCACATGGACCGCATCACCCACTGCCGAGGATGTGAACACGACCACACGCCAGGGAGAGCTGCCGCCACATGGACCCCATCACCCACTGCCGAGGATGTGAACACGGTCACACGCCGGAGAGAGCTGCCGCCACATGGACGCGACCAGCCATCGCGAGAGAAGCACCATCAGAAGCGCAAGAGCACACCCTGGCCGCGAGGTGCGGCTGGACGACAATGCTCTGTCGTTGGAGGACAGGTGCCATCGGGTGACCCTGGTCACCCACCACGGAGAGATGCGACGCCAACCACACGCCGCAGGAGGGGCAGTATCACACACGCACGCACGCACGCACGCACGCACGCACGCACGCACGCACGCACGCACACGCACACGCACACGCACACGCACACGCACACGCACACACACACGCACACAAACAATGATAGCCATGCAAAAGGTCATGATTGCATAGTTAGAAACAACTGGTGCAGCTAGACGTGAAATATCCGACCAGGCGGCATAGGCATCCCGATGGTAAAGAAAAACATGTTTGAATCACCGCACTCAAAGCAAGAGTTGGCAAGGAAACCCAAAAGCGGAAACCAGGAAGAAACGGTCCCTTTCTCACCTGGCCATTATGTTTATTCGGGCCGCTTGCACGCGCCCTCCGCACCACCACTCAAGGCCACGCCGACCTGGACACCGCCCCATAATCTAATCCAACGCATCTGCCCACGTTAAAAAACTACCCACGTCAAATAGAGTCACTGCGAGTCCCTCAGCCTGACATTCACATCCCGTGAGCGCGCCAGCGGCCGCCCGGCGTACCCATTCGCGCGAGCCACGCTAACTCCGACATGCCGGCACGCGCCGTACCCACCTGCATGGCGAACATCAGCACGGCTGTCAGGCCCACCCACGAGTGCAGCGAGTACAGGTTGGGGATGGGCGGCGAGGCCAGGTCGTGCGAATCGAACACGGCCTTCAGGCCGATCATCACCAGCAGCAGCGACGTCAGGTTCAGTGCCGCGTGCGCCAGCTTCAGCTTGCGCTTGCGCTCGCTGCGGAACACGCGGTACAGCAGCGCCGCTGTGCGGAACGGGTCCTGGCATTAGTTCCGGACGATGTCAACAGGTGGCGCCGCCGGCGCGGAGCTGGCTGGATCCATACGTCCTGTGACAGCGCAATAGCTAAATCGGGCAATAACACCGGTATAATGAAGGCGTGTTTGAATGGGCCAAGAACAGCGCGCAACATACCAAGTAGAGTTAAAAGATCCACAATGGTGATGAGTTGGATAAGAAATAACGAGCCACCAGCAAATATCAACGCATAGATGACGCACTCGATCCTTGTCTTGTTTGGGCTATTCGCCCACGATGCTTAATAGTTATCATTCCCACGTGGCAGATATTTGAAAACGACTGCTGAAATTTCATGCCTGGAAAGGCCCGCATTCCCCTTTGGTTCAGCAAATCAACCAGCGTCTCACTGCGACAGCGGACCGTCCGTTATGACAGCAGGGGTCGCAGCAACAGGCCTGGGTATTCCCCAGACCGTCTCCCGCAGATCCATTACCACTTCCTGTCACGCTAGCCACTATCTACCGGAGCTCTGCGTCGTCTCGCTGTACAGCTCGCCCGCTCCGGGCGGAATGCATCACGATCATTTACAACAGAGATGAGGTCTGACTGCAGTCTGCCGCCAGCATAAAAAGTCAGGTCCCATTTCGTGCACGGACTCCTTTCGAACGCCCTGTTTCCATCACATCACGGTGCCCGCCAGGCCAGACCGAAACCATCAGAGTCGGGGGCGCCCAGACGATGGCCGTCTGGAGCGGCATGGAACGCGGCACCTGACGTCGACCTGGTCAGGCGTGGCGCCAGGGTCACTGGTGACCAGTCGCCGGTCACCGGTCACCGGTCACCGGTCACCGGTCACCGGTCACCGGTCACCGGTCACCGGTCACCGGCCGGCCGCTGTGCACACTACCACTATCGCCCCCGTTCACACTCGGGTTTGAATCACAGCCATCTAGGTCGCTCGAAGACCGCTCCTACTGCGGATCGCGAGCGGCAACGGAGAGCGGCGTCCATATCGTTATCAGCTCTCCTCCTCTGTGCAGTCCATCTATGCAGTGACCAGCGCACGATTGTTTCGGTTGCGTGCTGTACGTCTGGGCTCAACAGCGTTCGTTACAGTATATCGAGGGAGGCTGTTATCTTGTGGTTCTTGACTAGCTTCAAACAAACAATGTCAGGTCTGAAGACGGGAGCTTTTTTAACCCGCGCATCGCTGTCGCGCCGGAGTCTTGACAAGCGAGCGCCCGCAAGACCGGCTCGGGTCACAGTACATTGCGTAAGGCGACCGCGCGACACTTCCATTGCCTAGCGACCGACCGTCTCGGCGTGGTACACGTGGCACTCGCCAACGATCCTGCAGCACTAGTGCATCGGGTCAGACGGCACCCAACAGCGGGCCTCTGGTAATCTACCCGGGAAAGCAGGCCAGCATCCTCAGTGCGCAAGCGCCTTTACATGGACCACATCAAGATCACGCGATGTCTCCAGGCCGGCGATTTGTGGCGTTGGCGCGGACCCGCCGACGGGTAGGTGCACCGCCTCAAATCTTCGACGGGTGCTAACTGCATGCTCACACAGTGATGCCAGCCCAAGGTTATCTACACCAACCCCGAACCCACTCGACGGGTGCTAACTGCACCCTCGCACAGTGATGCCAGCCCAAGGTTATCTACACCAACCCTGAGCCCATTCGACGGGTGCTAACTGCACGCTCGCACAGTGATGCCAGCCCAAGGTTATCTACACCAACCCTTAACCCATTCGACAGGTGCTAACTGCACACTCGCACAGTGATGCCAGCCCAAGGTTATCTACACCAACCCTTAACCCATTCGACGGGTGCTAACTGCACACTCGCACAGTGATGCCAGCCCAAGGTTCAAGCACGTTTATCTAAACCAACCCTGAGCCCCTTCCATTGCGTCAACAGCTATTCAGTTCAGTAGACCGCTGCGAACGGAGCACCGGCTGCACCCGAGACAGAGAGTAAAGCACACACCAAGAACGGACTGACACAGGCGGCGGCGCTTCTCTGTACCGAGCCCCCGCTCCCGGCGATGCTGAAGGTCAGCTCTCGAGGCACTCACAGTTGGCGTACAGGTAGACGAGGCCGGTGACCATGAGTACCGGGTGCCAGTTGAACTGAACAGACGGTCTCTCTTGCCAGGCGAATCCATTACGGAAGTGGCCCACCCAGGCCACCGTCAGGATGACGGCAAGGGCGCCTGTCGGGTGGCGCTGCGCGTCATCAGATGGGCGGACATGTCATGACAGGATGCTGCTCATCATCATGTGCTGCACCATGACATCTGATGACATTATGTCAGCATACAGAACAGTAAGCCATCAGATAGTACAGAGCATCCTCTGATGGTGCAGTGCACCAAAGAAGTGCACATCAAATGAGTAGATAACACAGGACATCCATCATCAGATGACACAATGAACCATTGGAGAACAAAGCATGCCCTTAGATGACACAAAGTATCACCAGGTAAGAGAGCATGTCATCAAACCTTATGGAATATCATAAAATGGCATGGTACATTATCATGTGTATCACTTTCTGAGGTACTGTTGCAATATTCACTGACAGTGTCATGCTACATCATCAAAAGACAGAGTGTCAGTAAATATTGCATTAGTGCCTCAGAAAACAATGTAGCACATCATTATGTGACACAACAAATGCTGTTTGGCAGCACAGCATGCTTTAATTCAGGAGGCAAAATGATGAGGACCATGTGGTACATTATCAGATCACATGACAGAGCAATGGAACTGCAAGTCAGTCTCATACATTAACATACATACCACATGTCTCTGCAAGAGAGAATGTCAGGGTGAAGCCTCTGAGATCTGGTAAAGTGTCCATGGCTGCTTCTGAAATGGTGCATATTGAGGACTTTAATTCAATAGCACAAGTCATAGCATGATAAAGGAAGACAGTAAATGATGAGCAGCTGGGGTTGAATTTCCTGCTAATTTTGGGTTAATTACCCACCTGTGGCCACCACTGCAACACTATGCATTCTACCAGATCCCACTTTCACTGCCAGCAATTTAGAAAGTCAGCTCCTATCTTAGACTGCTGCATTCTTGGAACTGTTATACACTTCCTGCATGCACAATTACTCATCTGCAATGCATTTCACACTCTAATGAAGTGCACCTGGCACACAAGAGTGCATATGATGCTTAGCCAGTCTGAAAGACATGATGAACATGCCAACAAGATGTTTGGAGCACACAAAATCCTGCCCCAAACAGAATAGTAAACTGCTCCATTTGTGGCAGATTTTATTAACTTGATTTATCCCAAAACATGATTTATCATCAGATTTTATGATTTTCTATAATCCTCCCAATTTTTAAGTCATATAACACATTATGATTCCTTCAATAATCCAATTTCATAAATTCTGCCAAATTTTTGGGTAAGCTGGCAGCTGCTCCCCATGGGAAGCAGTGACCTACTTCTGACTCTGCCCAAATAACATATTGGCAAAATCTGTCCTGGTTTGCAGACATGGTGCTTAGCATAGAAAGGTGTGCAAGCAAACAAACTGCAGCTATCTAAATACACATTTTTGAGGTCATGATATCCAAATCATACACAATCCATGGCCTTGACTGTGGGCATGTTCAGCAGAGGAAAAATTATTCCACAATTAACTTTGTCATACAACAAGCAAAACAGCAGATATAAGTGCAAAAATAGCAAAAATACAACACTGCTTCATTTTCTCCAGATATACCCACAAATTTCTGCAAGCAGTGGATGGAAGAGCACCTTGGGTTGATGTGTGCAACCATTATTCTGAATCTATAGCAAACCGGATTGGGGTGAAATTGGGATTCGGGAAAAAGCCTGCTCTTAATGTTATTCTAGAGTGGCCAACTCACGGCAAAGCCCTTGAACTGGTTCCGTGAACGGTGCCACTCGACGGTCAGGATGATTTACCACCCATATGGGACAGAACCTCCCTTGCGCACGTTTGGCACCGCTCCCTGAACCGATGCCTCGCGAAGGCGCGATGTTTAGCATAATTTTATGTAGGACGAGATACAACAAATCACAAAAGAAAGGAATGCATCAAACCTGAGCAATTGCCTCCCAGAAATTCACCGATTCCAAACCCAACCGGGCCCGGCCGACCACCCGCCGCACCACAACGCAGCGCAATGGTTGCAATACCGGTACAAAACAAACAGCTAAAGCGTCGCTTTTGCCCAAACCTCATCGTGTTCAGACTCCGGCTTACAAAGCTTGCAATTACCGGAATTCACCTACTTCTGGCTTTTATACTGATGCACGTCCATGAACTGGCGGGTACTGAGAGCGAAAGGGAATAGATCGAAAGCATGTGGGTTTGTAATAGGAAAGTTGGAAACGGAGCCCCAGCCAGCTGTTGCACGGATGTATGTGACGCGAGTGGTGTTTCGCGCTAGTTTGATGTTTTGTCTTGAGTGAGAGCGGTTATGAGCGGTCTCTGGTGCGGAAACGCCATGAATTTTCAGAGAAAGTAGCAACGACGTGATTTAAAACTGAAATTATGACAGACTCATAATGTAATTTGGCCAATCTTACAGCTTGATCGATCAAAAGCAACGGGTTCTGATGGGCTATCTGGACCCCGGCTGGGCAAGCTGTGTGTTGTGATAGGTAGAGCAATAACTTTCGAGTCATGCGTGTTTTGAAATATGCATATCCAGAAGTGCCAAAATAGCCTAGGTCAGATTTCAGAATATATCCGCTTTAATTGACCTTGAGCAGTTATGTATGCTGTTGAATGTGAATTGGATCTGATAAAGATCTGGTGTGTTGCCAAAGCCGCAGTCAATGTGCTTGTGAATAGCATCTTAGCAGCATTCCAAATTCATCCAGTATGGTGTCAAGGATGTTTATTGAAGGTGGTGTGACCAGAATTCTGGCATGGTGGCCTCAGCATGAAAGTTGTTTACACTTGTCTGTTTCCCTTCAACCCTGAACCCAGATATTAGACTTGTCTGGCCCATTTGTCCAGCCTGAGACACTTACATGCTGGGTTGAATGCTGCTTGGTTTGATGTGGATAGGCTAGTTTTAAGCAAGGAGAAGGGTGACATGCAGTGAATCCAAGCAGAGGGTATAATAGCTTGAAAAGTTTTGGCATCACTGCTACCCATGACCCAACTGACCATTCATTAAGATGCCACATCTTAGGCACATATGATTAGCATATAAAGGAAGTCACATAACCTTCACTGAAGAATTCACCACATTATTTAAATCTTCTTAGATGTCATTTTAGCCTTTCATGTTTCTACCTGCCCAAGAGGAGCCCAGATTAAAAAGACTGGATGCTACCAGACCAAGATGTTTTATTGAGTTTTATTTATCCATCTAACAGAGAAGTCCTTTTGAAAAAGTTAAAAATTGGAGGGCACCTTTTTAATGCTGAGGCAAAGCAAAAGGCCATGGGTTGACACACCACACATTTTCTCAGTTAATGGCTAATAAATTTTCCTATGATCCAGTGCCCACAACTGGATGAAGATTCCTGATGCATCAGATGGATGTTCCTATGCCCTGTGAAGATGAAGAGGAGATAGAGCAATATGTCTACAGTGTTACTGCATTTACCTCTCAATATGGGAGTGAAGGGTTTATTTCATACACAATGCAAAATATAATTGGTCCGCCATCACATCCTCAAGAGCATGGTGACTTTGCAAGCTCAGCTGCATTGGTTAGTTTGCAGTCAATTTTACTGTCATAACACTTTCAGTTATCTTATTTTGAGAATTTGTATGATCTGCTTACTAATGCACTGTGTATGTTATGATTGTTGTTGCTGTTCAGCAGCATCCTTTGGTTTTTGATAATGGGATGAGTAGTCAGTGTTTTGTGAGCAAAATTATGTTATGTCAGACACCTCATTCACTTGGACTGACTCCTCCTAAGTCACCTGTGTCTGCCCATTGTCTAAGGCCCCATACAACATGTGGTGGAACCAGTGTCCCTCCTAAGTCATCTGTGCCTGCCTGTTGTCTTAGGCCATGTATAGGACATGGTGGAGCCAGCATCTGTCCTAAGTTGCCCATGTCCGCATGCTGTCTGACACATGTATGACATGTAGTGGGGCCAGTATCTGTCCTAAGTCGCTGGTACCGACCTGTTGTCTCAGGCTACATACGGCACGTGGTGGAGCCAGTGTCCGTCCGCTCGGCGACCATTTAACTCCAACACACCACCGAACGTGCCTGGCCAGGACTTTGTGGGTATGAATCCAGTAAGAGCCCTCTGCAGTACTGAGGACTAAGTCTGCAACTGTGATGAAACAGTTCATAACTCATGTGCTGATAGCATGCACTGTTGGTAAAGCCAGCCAGCTAATGACCATAAGCTAATCCCTTACTTCGTTGTGCGGACTTTTCATATTACAACGACCCTTCGCGATGTGACAAAATCCTTTATTAGATCGTGGATTAGGAGTTATATGTGCAGCTCTGTTATCAGCCGCCGTCATTTCGCTTGTCACAGCCCCGCCGCCTAGCGCAATATCCTAGAGCGAAGCGCCCCTCCCGCTCGCCTGCCTCTGAAGTCCTCAGGGTTGGGCCGCCGGTGGCGCCGGCTGACGCCCGGCCGCGCTGTCGCAGATCTGGAGTTCGCCGAGGCCGTATACCCGCTGCAGCTGTCCGTGTTCGAGACGTACCACCCCGGCGGCCTACTGCGCGTGTGGGCGCGCTGGACGGGGTCCGACGGGCCGCGCTGGGCGCTGCTCTGGCGCGGCCGCCCGGCCGCCGACGGCCGCGCGCACGCTCAGGTGTTCAGCCCACAACTGAACATCCTGCAGCGGCCCGTATGGTGCGTGCTACGCACACAGGCGCTCCGCGCTCAGTACGTCGCGATCCGGCGCTGTGCGCACCTGCGCTGCTGTGTATGCTGCTGTCATGTACCACATGCACTGCCGAACTGTACCACACACACTGCCATACTGTACCACACAGATTGCTGTGCTGTACTGCGCATGCAGTTGTGCTTTACTCTGTCGAGGTCTGGCTGTGTGCCTCTGCTGTGCCATCCAGTACACGCGATGGTTGTGTGACGGGCTGCACGTGATCTGTACACTGGCATTCTGCCCCGTGCGCACTTTGTTCACGGCCGCCCCGTCATGTGCGCGCTCTGCACACTGTCACTGTTGGGTATGTGTTTTGTGCATCTGCTTGCTTCGGTTTAGGACGTATTGTGGAGTAGGGGCTGAACTTGGCTTCACGATGTGCCACGATCAGTGTCAGTCATCTGTCCCCCTGCTCTGTGTATTGGGGCTCCGGCGTGGCCTGCTTCGGTTTAGGACGTGTTGCGGAGTGGGGGCCGAACTTGGCTTCACGATGTGCCATGGTCAGTGCCAGTCGTCTGTCCCCCTGCTCTGTGTACTGGGGCCCCGGCGTGGCCTGCTCAGGATAGCGGCTCCTCCCGCTGTCGCTCCGAGCCGCATTCGTCGTCCCGACCCGCCATCCCCGGCCCGCCGTCCCCGACCTGCCGTCCCCGGCCCGCCGTCCCGGACCTGCCGTCTCCGGCCCGCCGTCCCCGACCCGCCGTCCCCGACCTGCCGTCCCCGGCCCGCCGTCCCGAACCTGCCGTCCCCGGCCCGCCGTTCCCGGCCCCCCCCCCCCCTCCGACCGGCCGCTCCTCACTCGCTCCTCACTCACTCTCTGAAGCACGGTCCTGACCCGTCATCCCTGACCCCCCCCCCCCCCGCTGTGACCCTCGGCTCTGACTCTGCGGCGCGCCCCTCGTCACCCAGGCACCTGCGACTCGAGTTCAACTGCGAGCAGCTGGCCTACTTCACCGGGCTGGACGCCGTGCAACTGACCGGCTGCCGGCGGCGGCCGTCGGCGGCGCAGCTGCTGCGCGGCCGGCCGCTGCGGCCGCTAGCTGCCCGGTTGGCGGCCGGCCGCGCGGCCCTGCTGCGGCCGGACGGGCTGCCCAGCCGTCTGCGAGAGCTGGAGCTGCTCGGCCGGGCGGCGCCGGCGGCCGGTGGCTCCCCGGACGCTGCGGCCGGCACAGACGGCAGCGGCCTGCTCCGCCTGCCGGTCAGTGGTCCGCCGTGTCAGGCATCACCTGCAGGAGCCGGTGTGCGGGCCAGGTCGAGACTCCGGTCTGCAGTGTTGTCGCGATGGCCACGCGGCGGGCGAGAGGTGTTTAGTCTCGCGACCGATGCTCCTACTCCGTCCCCTGCGGGACAGGCTCGTCGCAGGGTGCGTGCTGTGTGCGCGGGCGCGGGCGGGGGGCAGTGCCTGTGTTCTCGTGCCACCCCGGTGTGTCGACACTTCAGCTGGCCTGTCGCACTGCGTAGGAGGAGATCCTGTGCCGGCTGCTGACGTACCTGGACCTGGTGAGCCTGAGCCGGCTCTCGCTGGCCTGCACGCACCTGCGCCGGCTCTGCGCCGATCCTGTGCTCTACTCCCAGCTGGACCTGCAGGTCAGACGCCCCGCCCGGCCCGCACAGCTTTCGCACACGTCATGGCGCCGGCCGGCAGCCCCGACCGCTGGGCAGACAGTAGCCGTTGCTCAGCTGTTTTCGACGTCTACGTTGACCGTTGGGCTGTTTTCTTATGGTCACCGGCAGCTGGGTAGATGGAGGAGATTCGTGAGGATGCCCGGTTTGCCTTTTGTTTTCTGGTGTGTTAAGGATATGGGCGGCGTGGGATATTTGAACTTTTCACGTAATTCGCATCGTTTTTAAAAGCGGCATTGTGCGATTCCTTTATGGATGGCATGAGGCTAAGCCCTTGCTCACCGCCGACGGACTGCTGGGCTGTGGGCTCTGTGCTGTCTTTCCCCGTTTTTGGGACATTGAAAGAATAATCGATAGGGCGTTAGGCGGAGTGCGGACGTTGCTGATGACGTCACGGAAAAGGAGATCGGCTTAATCGATAGGGCGTTAGACGGAGTGCGGACGTTGCTGGTGACGTCACGGAAAAGGAGATCGGGTTCCGCTCGCCGTGCTGCTGCTTTTAGAGGCGAAACAGCTGTTTGGAGGTTCGGAACAGGCCTTAGATGTTACATGTGCCATAGATGAACAGGGAGGCAGGGGGCTACCCTCCCCCCCCCTTTCCGCCCCCGCCACTTTTCAAGGTGGGTGGCAGCAATGTCAACTACCCCCCCCCCCCACACACACACACACGCAAACGCACACACACACACTGAAATAAAAACAATCTGGAACAGCTTCTGAGTGATATTGGTTCAGAAGGAGTCCACTGAACCGCTGTAAAATGGAGAGCGCCGGCGATCTGTTCCATGCAGCCGCTCAACGCCTGATTTCTGCAGTTGACGGACTTCAAAACATAAGCAAATGACCTCGCGGTAACGTCTGATTTCTGTTTCTGTTCTGGATATGAGTAAAAATAGCAATAAAACGAACGCGACTGTGTCCGTGCTAACAAGTGAGCAATATCGGGCGGTTTTTAGCGGGGGGGGGGGGGTCACCATCGGGTGGGCTTTTGTCAAGCCTTATGCCCCCCCCCCCCCTTGGCAAGGCATTGGCTACGCCCTGCCTCCATTCAAAAGCAGGTCAAGCCGGCTATGTTGAATGAGGGGCAATTGGATGTCGGGTGGACCGATACACGTGAAAAGCAGGTATCTTCCGGAAAGCTTATTTTCTGCTGTGGTGTGGGGTGAGGGAAGATAATTCGGAATTAGATACTGTTGCAGGTGTCCAATATATGTTTTACAGACCGATAAGTAATAATGCTGATCCATAAACGTTCAGCAAAGCAAGCACATGATAGATTCGCAGTCGTTCATGCGGGGGACGGCCGAGCCAGGGCAGTGGGCGTCGATGGCGGATGGGAGCTAAACTCAGATTAGAAATATACGACAAAATGACCTTAATTATGTGACTTGGGTTTTATTGGAGAAACTGTAGTTGTATGGTTTTTGTCACATTGTTTTGGACGGTTGGCATTTGAAGCTTTTAAATTCTTTCCGCCTAAAATATTGCGACAAACCTTATCCCACGCAAAGTATCCGGTGCAATGTAGGCGCATGAAATTTTTAGCGCACTATTGACCATTGATTCACACCTAAAACTTTGGCCAACCTCTATCCGGGTCGTATTTTGACACCCACCCTAAGGAGGTCTTCCAATGACCGAAAGTGCCTAGCCGCCCGTGTAATTTCGCTTTCCCAGAGAACACAATTTTGAAACGAACGAACAGTCTTGGAAAGCTGGATATCCTTATTTGCCGAATGGCATAGATGAGTGGAATGGGCAAGATTGTTCACCAGTGAAAAACAGCACTAGACGTATATTCAACATAGCAACCATAACAGAAGCCATTCCTGGAATGTATTATGTGAATTCAGAGCAGACAATAACCTCCATTTCTATCCCCGGTCACCGGGCTTGCCCCCAGCGAAAGTTCCTGAAGTATATCCTGAGTCTCCCCCCACCCCCGCCCACTTTTTGGAACGTTCCTACGCCTGTGAAATGTGCGCAGCTCGTGCGCACTGACCATGAGACTGAAGCGAGACGACGCCAGCTGGTGCGTTTACTTGTCATTCTGTTGGGTTGATAGCCGTGGTGAAAGTCAGACAGTTGGAGGGCGGCTAGAGCGGTGCTGACCGGTCCGTCTTTGGCCGGAGTCGGGTCTGGCCATGCTACGCACTGTGACGTACACGGCGTGCCGTCTACCGGTGGCGCCGCGTGCCGTCGTCACCAGGGACGGTGGGCTGGAGGTGCGTGTAGCCCGTCCGTGCGTGGCGCGTGACCGGCGGCGCCGCCGTGCCGTCGTCACCAGGGACGGTGGGCTGGAGGTGCGTGTAGCCCGTCCGTGTGCGACGCGTGACCGGCGGCGCCGCCGTGCCGTCGTCACCAGGGACGGTGGGCTGGAGGTGTGTGTGTAGCCCGTCCGTGTGTGGCGCGTGACCGGTGGCGCCGCCGTGCCGTCGTCACCAGGGACGGTGGGCTGGAGGTGTGTAGCCCGTCCGTGTGTGGCGCGTGACCGGCGGCGCCGCCGTGCTGTCGTCACCAGGGACGGTGGGCTGGAGGTGTGTGTAGCCCGTCCGTGCGTGGCGCGTGACCGGTGGCGCCGCCGTGCTGTCGTCACCAGGGACGGTGGGCTGGAGGTGTGTGTGTAGCCCGTCCGTGCGTGGCGCGTGACCGGCGGCGCCGCCGCGCCGCCGCCGCCAGCCGGTGGACCGCCCGCTGACCCCGTATGTCGGCCGCCCTACTGGCCCCTGGTGGACGCCAGCGTTGTGCCTTTCCTGGTCAGTCGGGGCTCTTACCTCACCAAGCTGGACCTCTCCTGGTGCGGCAGCTATGGCGCGCTCACCGACGCCGACTTCTGCAAGTGAGGCACCATCACTGGGCTGTCGTGTGGCATCTGTGGAAGGGCCGTCTGTTTGGGTCGTGGTGTCGTCTCTTGCGATCTGACTTTCAAATGACGTTCTGAATGGCTCCTCTTCGCTCTCCCCCGTTAGAGAGAGATCAGTGTACATTTGTCACCATCGCGCTGGTGACCTGCTGGTAGTGGCAGTGGGCCGCATGTCAGCAGCATCGGCGCTCTGCCCGTGTGGGTGACGGTCGGCGACCCGGCGACCCGGCGAGGCGGCTGGCCGACCCTGGACCCGGATGACCGTGCCCGCCGCCCCCCCCCCCCTTCAGCGTGGCCGCCCAGCTCGGCTCCCGGCTCCTCTGCCTGCGCTGTGGACGCCTGCGACTGGTTCAACGGCCTCTGCATGGAGTGGACCGGCCTGTTCTGTCGCGGCCTGGAGGGTGAGCCCGAAGCCGGAGGCGCTTCCGCCGGCCCGCGTCGCTCTCCGGAGCGCACGACAGCAAGCGCGGCCGGCCGCGCGCCGGACTCTTCTGACCCGAAGCCGGAGGCGCTCCCGCCGGCCCGCGTCGCTCTCCGGAGCGCACGACAGCAAGCGCGGCCGGCCGCGCGCCGGACTCTTCTCGACAATGTCTCTGGCAGCTTTTGACCACGTATCGACGCGATGGTAGTACCGCTAGCTGGCCCGTGTGGTGCAGCCCGACGTCGTTACCATGGTTACTGGTCCAGTACGCGTGATTAAGTGTGTGTGTGTGTGTGTTTTGACCGGGATGTACGAACCCGGCCTTCGTGGAGTTGCTGACTGGCTGGTCTTATCTTCATGTGGTGTTGAGTGCCGCCTGACCCAGCCGGTACCACGCTCAGCCCGCTGTTCTGCAGACAGAGTGCGGGACTGATATGCCCACCGTTCCACCGGCGGTTGGTAGTGAGCGATCGTTGGTGGCCTGGCGTCGAGCCGGGCTCGGGCGGCTTATGTACGGGCCGTCCGATGCGTTCCACCGACCGGCTGGCACTCCGGGGTGCTGACCGGTCCCGGTGGGCCTGTGCCGCGCGGTCTGGCGTCAGCCGCTGCCTGCCGACGGCGCCCCGCCGACCGGTTGGCACTCCGGGGTGCTGACCGGTCCCGGTGGGCCTGTGCCGCGCGGTCTGGCGTCAGCCGCTGCCTGCCGACGGCGCCCCGCCGACCGGCTGGCACTCCGGGGTGCTGACCGGTCCCGGTGGGCCTGTGCCGCGCGGTCTGGCGTCAGCCGCTGCCTGCCGACGGCGCCCCGCCGACCGGCTGGCACTCCGGGGTGCTGACCGGTCCCGGTGGGCCTGTGCCGCGCGGTCTGGCGTCAGCCGCTGCCTGCCGACGGCGCCCCGCCGACCGGCTGGCACTCCGGGGTGCTGACCGGTCCCGGTGGGCCTGTGCCGCGCGGTCTGGCGTCAGCCGCTGCCTGCCGACGGCGCCCCGGCTGACCGGCGCCGGTCCGTGTGTGGCAGAGCTGAGCATGCGCAGCTGCTGCGGCCTGGCCGACGACGCCTTCTGGAGCCTGCAGTACCTGTGCAGCCTGCGCCGGCTCGACCTGTTCCGCACCGAGATCACCGCGGCGCCGCTGGCTGCCTTCATTCGCAACGCCAGTGGCTTGCAGCACCTCGGACTCGGTGAGCGGCGGCGGCGGCGGCGGCGGCTCCTCACCCGCTGAACGCCGTCCGCCCGGGCTCTGGCAGTTTCGTGGCGCGCCGCCGTCAGCCGACCCCTGGCTGTGGTGATGGATCCCACCGCCGCAGGGCCGGCTCTGATGTACGGTGTCCGGCCGACACACTCGGGATGGCGGTGCGTGCCGGTGCGCCTCGCGCGCGGGCCCTGACGGGACTGCCGGCTCTGCTGTCGCGCTGCAGGGACAGGGTCAGACCCTGCGCCCTTCATAGCATAAGGTGCACCCGGGTTTTGTATCAGGCGTGTCCAGATACAAAACCAGGGTGGATGTAGCACATTTCCGACTGCTTACGTGATAGTTATACTAGTGGAGACCTCGCTTGCGCCAGTCTTGTTAATACCAAAGAGAGATCTTGTCAAACAAGGCTTCTATTTTTTAGTCACTTACACACACCAACACTCACACCACAACGTCTACACGCGTTCATCAAAAAGTAGGGCATCGCTTTGCGATCCCAGAACTGGCTGGTGCCCCCCCCCCCCCCCGTGAGGCACTACCTTTCCGTGGTGGGGGGGGGGGGGGGGGTTTGCGTGCCCCAATGATCCTGCGGGTGGTTGGGGAGGCTTGTAAAGCGCCCCAAGCGTTTCGGCCAAAGAGGGGGGCCAGACAAAACGTGCCTCCCGCAAGAGCTCTGACTCGCTCAGAGTAGGGATTAGCAACCCCTCGGCCCCAGTTTTTCAGTCTTATCTGGGTCTCGCCGTACCCCGTTGGATCCGCAGGTAGCGATGAAGGGATCCTGGTCACTGAGGGAGTTGCCCTGCGGGTTAGTCGGGGCAGATTACCAACACGTGGTTTTGGCCCGAATTTGTGATCCTGCGGATGCCTCGTGAAGTCTCCACACGAGGGAACCGGCTGGTCAGGCGTCGTGTTTTCGTGACACTGGCTTGGAGGCAAGCAGGTCATGTGACGGGTGTTGAGGGGGGAGCTGCCGGGTGCAGTGTCTGCCTCCTGACATCATTAAGGGACCGTACCTCGGTTTGCTACTAGGGTGCCTGGTTAGCCCCTGCGAACCGAGGCACTGGCGCCCGCAGATCCGTGTCCGGCGGCTCTTACAGCAACTCTTTTGGCACACTGGTCTGCGTATAGCGTGCTGATAGCCCTGGCGGCTCCTCTCTTAGAAGTGGACCGTCCCCGTGTTGGGCTCCGTGGTGGGCGGGGAATCAGAGCGCCGAATATAAACACATACCTATGGACACTTTATCTTCAACCAACCCCCCAAACCCCGACCGTCGTCCACTACCCCAGTTTCTGGTCGTAAGATCCGCCAAAGTAGATGACCAAGGAAGGACAGTACCGCTCCGACTAAACCCATTTCAGCGCCAACAAGCATTTTCCAAGATCGGGACGCCCAAGGATGTCTTTTCGTATGCGGACGGAGGCATAGAAGTGCATCTAACAGACGAACGCGAGATCCAGCGCATGCTTAAAACGACCACACTTATTAACAAAGTACGAGGACAGGGAGAGGTTAGGGTGCCCGTATCGGTGCACCCTCACCCCTCTAAGAGCTACTCCAAGGGTGTGATTACTTGCCGGGACCTTCGCGGTGTGAGTGGTGAGGATGTTGCTGAGGGCCTCTGTGAGGAAGAGGTGACGGCGGTGAGACGCATCAAGAAGAGAGAGAGAGGAGAGCTGGCCGATACTGATTCAATTATTCTGACGTTTTGCTCTGCGAGAGTGCCAGATAGGGTCCGCGTGGGATATCAGTCGGTTCCTGTTAGGGTCTATGTACCTGATCCAGGCCGATGCTACCGGTACCAGACGTATGGCCACTTCACGGACAAGTGCTGGAAAGATGTTAGATGCGGAAGGTGTGCGGAAATAGGTCACCAACACTGAGTGTAAATCAGAAACCGTGAAATGCGTCAACTGTGGTCAGGGTCACGTGGCGTCGTATTGCAACTGCCAGTCCTTGTCAGCGAAAGCTGTCCTGAACATAAAAGTGAAGGAAGGAGTCGTTTCGGGAGGCCCAACGCCGACACAACGATGCGACCACCACAAGGACATACAAAGACGCCCAAGACCCTTACCAATTACGCGGACCCTTACCAATCCGGCAAGAAATTTAGCCCAAGTAACACCCGCAGCCAACGAGGTACTGAAACTGAGTGGACTTGATGATTTCAAAGGCACGACTGTAGGCGGGTTTGTACAGCTGATACTAAGCACACTTGTATCAACTGGCTCTGCCGTTCCGTCGTACCGGAAGTCGGATCCTCCGGAAAAGAATCCACCACGGCATTGGCCGCCGCTAGAGAAGCTCAGCCTATGGGGTTGGAACCCCCTGGTGGAGCTGCCAGAGAGCCCGGGGCTGGGTTGTGACCCGGGAACGGGGGATGGACCACGGTCCAGCGAGGTCATGGACTTCGCCCACCATCATCGCACCCCGGCCCAACCCGTGCTGAAGACACGCCCTCCCGGGCTCCATCTCCCCCTCCATCCATACCAGCTACGACGGGATCGGTTGTCGCTGGCACAGGGGCGCTACGAGAGCTGCCCCCCTCTGGCTCCCCAGCTAGTGGCCCTGCCGGGAGCGCCGGTCCCCCCGGCTCACGGGAGCCGGACAAGGTTCGGCATCCCCCGGTCGTCGCTCCCTCCCGGAGCCGCCCTTCTGAAACTGTTGTTCGTCCGGGTTCTCTGGACCTTGGCCCTGCAGGGCGCGCCGCCAGGTCGGCGTCTGCACAGCGGACGGGGGGCCGGCTTCCGCTGTCTACTCCGCCCCACTCACCGGGAGAGTCAATGGGTCCGCCTCCCATTCCTCCACCTGGAGACGGGGTTTCGGGTCGGCCTACCCTGCAGTCCCCGGTGGCAGGTCGTGCAACAAAGCGTGCCCCTCCTTGGCCGACGTCGCCTACGGAGGGTGGAAGTCCCAAAGCTCGGCCAAGGGTCTGGCTTACCTCCACTGAAGTAGAGCGTCGCCAGGGAGATTTGTTTAATGCAAAATCCTTGGTGAACGCTTAAAGCAGATGTAAGCTATACCGATGGATCTTAACCGTGCACCCCACGTACAAGCATACCTAGCATGCCACTGACGTTTTTACAATGGAACATGCGTGACATGAGGGCCAACATGTCGGACCTACACACACTCTTATCTTATCGTAACCCGGTTGTGGCATGCTTACAAGAAACAAAGGTATCTGATGACACCCACATTAACGTCAAATGTTACAGCATCTTTCGGAAAGACGTGACAACTGACACGATCGCCCATGGTGGGGTGGCGGTTTTAGTTCATCACGGTATACCGTGTTCTCCTGTAAGTCTTAACACTGACCTTCAAGCTGTTGCTGTCGTCGTCGACCTTGGGTCGCTGAGGCTGACTGTCTGTTCTATCTACCTCCCTCCTGCTGAGGAAGTACCGTATTCGATACTACAGTCCATCTTCGATCAGCTTCCATCGCCGTTCTTATTGCTAGGTAACTTCAACTCCCATAGCCCTTCGTGGGGCTGCAGTCACACAAGCCGCCGAGATCGACATCTTGAGCGTTTGCTGAATACAAATAATTTTTGTGTTGTTAACACCGGCCGGCATACCCACATATCTCTGCCGTCCAGCACTACTTCAGCGATAGATCTTTCTATCTGCTCCTCGTCCCTTTTCTGTCGGTTGTCTTGGTTCGTTGAGAGCACTACATATGGGAGCGACCATTTCCCAATATGGCTTGGGATGGATGCTGGACACCCAGGCAGGAGGCCTTCCTGCTGGAACCTTCGACGTGCTAACTGGCAAAGGTTTACTGACGAGTGTCATATTAGAGTGCAGCCGACCGAGGACGACAATGCAACGTCTCTTGCACAACAAGTGACATCCACAATTGTCGACACTGCAAGGTCTTGCATTCCCTTGACATCACCTGAGCCGCGCAGGATCTCTGTTCCCTGGTGGTCAGAGGACTGAAAGGCGGCAATTCTTAAGCGGACGTGGGCGTTCAGCGTTCTGCAACGACCAACAACCTCATCGCTTTTAAAAAGGCCAGAGCATTTGCGAAACGCACAATACGTGAGGCAAAGCGTACATCATGGGGGGAATATGTAAATGGTTTAAATCGTCACATCCCACTGAGTGCAGTGTGGCAGCGAGTTTGTCGCATTTCCGGTAGGAACGTCTCCACTGCAGTTCCGGTGTTGAAAGTGGCGGGAATTACGATATTGAACACACAGGAAGTTTCCAACAAAATAGGTGCATTTGCAGAAAGGTGCCGACATGGAACAGACGACCCACGCCTTATTCGTTACAAGGAACAAAGTGAGAAGACGGCAATCAATTTTAGAATTCCTGACTCAGAGCTTTATGAGTACAACCAACTATTCACTGTCATGGAGCTCTGCACTGCTCTTGAGAGAGCTAAGAGTATGTCACCTGGATTGGATAAAGTCCACAATGATACGCTGAATCACCTAAAGAAGGAGTCCCTCCATGCCTTACTCTCACTTTTCAACTACATATGGTTACAAGATGACTTCCCGGAGTCGTGGCGGGAGGTGATTATAGTTCCGATACAGAAGCCCGGAAAGGATGGTTCCGACCCACTGCACTACCGCCCAATTTTGCTGACTTCATCCCTATGCAAAGTGCTAGAGAGGATGGTTAATGATCGTCTCATGTGGTACCTTGAAACCCACGGCTGTCTTTCCAAAGTGCAATGCGGATTTCGGAAGAACCGATGCACTGTTGACCACTTAACGATCTTCGGCACAGCTGTACGACATTCTTTTAAACAAAGACGTCACACGATAGCAGTCTTCTTTGACATTGAGCGGGCTTATGATACTACCTGGCGCTATGGCATTCTAAGCAAAGTACACAAGTGTGGACTCCGAGGTCACATGGCACTATTCATTGAAAACTTTTTACGTCGTCGATTCTTCCGCGTCCGAGTGGGTGGCATGCTATCTGATCGCTATGAACAAGAGAACGGTGTTCCTCAAGGGAGCGTCCTTAGCGTAACCCTGTTTGCGCTGATGATCGATGATATCACCGACTGTCTGCCACCTACCATCAGTCGGTCACTGTTTATGGACGACTTTGCCATCTGGTGTGCGGCATCCACAACGACGTCTGCTGAGAGGCAGCTTCAGTTATGCCTGATTCGACTAACTGAGTGGAGCCTTGAGAATGGCTTCAAATTTTCGACCACCAAGACTAAGTGCATGCACTTCTGCTCACGGATTAGAGGCTGTAGAGACCCGGAGTTGCGATTCTATAATGCCAGTATCCCAGTTTGTAACGACGTTTGTTTCCTGGGCCTCACGTTTGACCGTCGGCTCACGTTTAAGCAACACTTTAAGATGGTTAAGACTAAGTGTCTCAAGCGCATGAACCTCATGAAAGTAATGTGTTGTATGACCTTTGCAGCCGATAGAAGCACCCTGTTGAACCTGTATAGGGCCCTAATTCGACCAGTCATCGATTATGCTAGTCCTGTCTACGATAGTGCTCCTACATCTTCAAAACAGGTTTTGGACACAATCCACCATACATGTGTTCGTATAGCCACTGGGGCGTTTCGTACGACCCGAGCAAGAAACTTGCTGGTGGAAGCGAATGAACCGCCCTTGCCTCTTAGGAGACAACGGCTTACTTTGAATTACGCTATAAAGGTTTCACAATTTCCGGATCACCCAGCCGTTAAGTTTATCTTCTCTCAGACGTTAATCCGTTCTTTCTTGAGGGGGCGGCCCACGTCATCGCGGCCGATGTGCCTGCGCGTCCGGGACTGGCTAGACGAGTCGCTTATTACGCTGGATGACATTGCCCCGCACACTCTTCGGGACCCAGCTCCGTGGAGACGTCTGAGTATTAAGTATGATTTGGAACTTTGTCAGCATCTTAAAAATGGCACTTCACCACGAGAGTTCCTCACGTATTCGTTGGAACAGATCTCACAATACGCGAACTCATGACAAATATGTACCGACGGGTCCAAGGGCTCAACAGGAGCGGGTTGCGCATTTGTGTGTGGTGACCATACCGTAGGTCTATGCCTCCCGCAGCACCTGTCAGTTTTTTCCTCAGAGCTGTTTGCTATGTTAGCAGCGCTTCAGTACGTTGCTTGTCGTCCTGAAAAGGATGTCACGTGACCACTCATTTTTGACGTGCTCAATTTGGGAGGAACTGGAATGGCTGGACAACACTTCCTGCCGTACCACATTCATGTGGATCTCCAGCCACGTAGGAATAATGGGAAATGAAAAAGCCGACGCCACAGCGAAACCTGTGGCGTGTGAGAGAAACCCAATACCAATTTATGTACCCGCTCGAGATCTGAAGACAGCGTTTTCCAAATACGTCCGCAATACATGACAGCACATGTTCGACCAACATGTTCACGCTTTCAGGGAAATCAAACCCCAACTGGGTGATTGGGAATCCTCCCATCGCCGAAGCCGCTTCCAGGAAGTCGCCCTTTGTAGGCTTCGGTTGGGTCATACATATGCAACACACTCGTTTTACTTGACGCGTAGGGATGTGCCATGGTATGATAGATGCGGGGACCAGTTGTCTGTTGAACATGCGCTCGTCTCATGCCGGCGCCTTGAGACGGAGAGGCGACGATTTTTTCCTCCAGCACCCCTCCATCGGTTACTCGGTCGAGACCCATGTGGTGAACTTGGAGATATACTTGCGTTTTTAGCACACATTGACTTTGACGTTATTTTCACTCACCCCTCAGTTTAAGTGCGCCAGTGATACTACCTGTTATTAGTTGACAACATAATTATCGCGTCGCCGCAGAGGTAGATAACCGTCATCGAGTGGGCGCAAAATGGCCCTGATGCCGACGCGCCCTTACAAACCAAATCACCACCACCACCGAACTGGCTGGTGCAACCGGCAGGTGGTGAGACGCTGAAGGCGAATTTTTAAAGGAAGTATCGGATAGCGTTTTTGGGAGCCAGGCATACTCCAGGTTCCGATGGAACAGATGGAATGCGGTCATTGCACATGCCTGAGCTTGAACAAAGGCGAATCTAATGGCTAGTGAACGACGGCCGGCAGCGAGCTTTTAGATAAGAATGTTTGAAGGTGAAAAGAGGATTTTGTTACAGTGTACAGGTGCTGGAGGTGGCGTTCGTGTCATCTCCTGGCCGCTGATTGAATTGTAGCCTGTAGCTATTATCGAGTCGAAACCACTGAAGTTAAATGGCACCATCTCAATGATGCCGTCACTCGTATTGTCTCTTGAGTGTCGACCCCAGACCGTCGCCATCTGACATCCTAAGTAGGGCACGCGTGGTCTCGGCCGGAGGAATTGTGGATACTTTGTACATAATGGGTTAATGGCACGGGAGAATGTGTATATATACATATATACATATATATATATACATATATATATATATATATATGTATATATATATGTGTGTGTGTGTGCGTGCGTGCGTGCGTGCGTGTGTGTGTCTTACTAACTGGCCAAGCAACTCAGCTGCCTCATCACACCGTACGCCCCTATGAAACAAAGCTAAAAGTCAACGGACCATCATCAGGCGTCGAGTATATTTACGAACGTTTCGGTAGAAGAGATGATACAAATCCTACCTCCCATCTGGAGAATCTCCTGCGAGCATGTACGATAGAGGCACCATTTCGTACACTAGACGGCAAACTCCACCGGCAAAAGAATGGAGTGGCCATAGGTTCCCCCTGCGACCGCTTTTTGCCAACGCCTACATGTGCCACGTGGAAATCAAAGTCCTTGAAAATCCATCACTCCGTCTCGTACTTTACGCACGATATGCCGATCATATGTTCGTAGACGTCAGTGACGAAAGCTTACTGATGGAACTAACAAATGTGATGGAACAAGCTTCAGTTTTCCGACTCATCTATGAACTAAGCGTCAATAACCGCATTTCATTTTTAGACATAGACATTGCTGACCAAAACAGCGATTCGTGACGACAGTGTACAAAAATCCAACAGATTCTGGACGATGCCTCAGTGCCATAAGCGAGTGCCCCGACCGGTACAAGGCCAGTGTAGTGCGCTTCTACCTCCGAAGAGCCCTCAAGCTCTGCTTTGATTGGACGCAACTACACAGTGAACTGCAGCGCATCAAAAAGTCCAAGCAAATAATGGCTACGCCAACAGTGGCATCGACCCTGAAACCAGCAGTTTTGTGTCACGATATCCGACAAAAACTGACGCCATCAAACATCAACCAGATCAAGCTGTTCCATCAGAATCAATGTTCCATCAAGCTGCTCCATCAGAATCATTGTCTGATAGTTATAAGGCAGACGAGCGTATCCTCAAGAAAATAATGCCTGTAAACGTCAAGCCAGTCAGTCAGGACGACAAGATAACGCTGACCATCTACTACAAAAACAGAAAGGTCACTCTACTCATGAAAAATAACCTCACAGCCAACTCTGAGTCCTTGAAACGAACCACCGTCGTTTACCAATTTTTTGTGACATAGATTGTAGGCTTTTAAGGCAAAGGTCCTGAACCACGTTGGTGTGACTACCAGCACACTTTCAAGGTAGTTGACGATGCACTTGGCTGACGGTGCTCCAAAAGAGCACGCGCGAAAGAACGCGGCCGGAACGGCAGCCGGGACGACCTTGCCAGAAAGACTGTCATTGTAACATCATCATCAAACAGGGGAAGAGCTTTATGTTCTGGAGGCTGTCACGATCAAGACATGGGCACCGGAACCAAACAACCAAGCTAATCTCTCAGCCACCCTTGACCTCATTTAGGGACGATCGACACCATCCGTAGGCAGTATGTTTTTCTATTCAGCACGTGTTTTGCCGCCCGAATTCTTATGCTCCCAAAAATGGTAACCACGTAATTTAGACTCTGTGCAATTTGGCGATCGAGCTGAACTTGATGAAACCTAATTGTTATACCTTACTGGTTATACCTATTTTAACATGTAAGCATAAACTCGTCACTTGTATGCTGTGTGTGTGTACCTTTCAGAATGCAGTATGTAATTCCGAAACGTTAGTCAATTAATAGATGTCTCACATTGGCGAGCTGCTTCTTAGTCTGAATGGCGAGCAGACAGCCGTAATCTGAAAACTCGAAGTACAGGAAAAGCTTATGAAATGTGTTCACGCTAAGGTCTTCAACAACACTTGTATATATGTATATATATATATATATATATATATATATATATATATACACGCACGCACGCACGCACGCACACGCAGTCCGCTTCAACGTCATCAAAGTAGTGTTTGGTGTTGGTCACTGGCGCTGTGGGCTCAGTGGTGCCGTGTGGGCGGTGCGGCAGGTCTGTGCGTGCGACTGCGGCGGCTGTGGCACGTCTGCGAGGCTCTGGGAGAGTGCTGTCCGGACCTGCGCTCGCTGGGGCTCTGGAAGCAGGCGGAGCTGACCTGGGCCGAACTGCGCCACGTGCAGCGCTGCCGCCGCCTGGAGGAGCTCGACCTCGGCTGGTGGTGAGGCGCGGCCGGCGGCGGTGGCGGCTGCGAGTGTGTCCACTGTGGGAGTGGGAGTGGGAGTGGGAGTGTGCCCTGATCTGTGTGCCGCCTGATAGGCACACGGATAAGGGCTTCAGGTGTGCCGATGATCTGTGTCGCGTACGGCGCGTCACGGCTGATACGACGCACACCATCCGGCCGGTGATCGTTCCTGTGGCGTCCACCCACGCCTGCCGGGGCAGGCTCGGGCGCAGGGTGGGTGTTGCTCCGTGGGCGGCCGCTCGGCCGCGTGGCCGGTCTCATGTGGCGCCGTGACATCCGGTCCTCTGACGGCTGGCTTCAGCCGCAGCGTCGTGCAGGAGGCCGAGCTGCCCTTCCTCAGGAACATCGCGCCCTGCTTCCCGTCGCTGAAGAAGCTGTTTATGACGTCGCTCAGGTGGGTGACGTGGCGAAGAAGACAGAGACGGAGAGTAGTCACAGCACCGTTGCCTGGGTTGTGACGTTCCGCCCATAATTGTTGCGCGTGCGGCCCAGCTGACGTCCTGATGAGGTCACTCCCCCATAAGAGCGTGGCCTATCGGCTGCGATCAGTTCGTTCAAATGCTGGTCCGTTACATATACGGCGCACGGTGCAGCTCTCCGCCATATGGGCCTTCGTGTAAAGGTGGTATCCTTAGTACGCCACGCCGCGCTGGATGCAGCTTTTTATAGCTCCTGTGCGGACGGCCTCTTCTATGAAGATGACTTCTCCGCGCAACCAACTGGTGTTCTTCCCTACCGCCTTTGTCGTGCGGGCGCTCACTCTTGGGCCGCTCGCGACGCCGCCAGGCTGATCCAGGATGGTGATCTGCGGTTGCTGGCCGTGCACACGCCCCTCCTGCAGCAGCTGGACATCCTGGGGGCCAGTCTGGTGCGGCCCGAGGCCGTCGAAAGGTGCGTCCCCCAGTCCCTGCGCGCCCCGGAAGGCCGTCCGCGCGCGTCCACCATCCACCCCAAACGCAGCGTGTGCTGATAACAGGTGGTCTTGTGGAGAAGCTTTCATGGAATATCTCAATTTCATTGGCGAAGCACGCGCCGAGGTCCCCCTGTCAATTCTCTTGACTTCATTCAGAAGGCAATACATGGTCTTCCTCGCATGTTGTAGATGGTGCCATAACACGAAAGGAAGTTTCCTCTGACAGCTCGTCATACATAAGACATTTGGAAGGCTTTGGCCGACTGAGCAGCATGCTTTTGTGATGAAATGTGCAGACAGTCATAGCGGATTCTCTTGATTCATTTAAGCTCTTTTTCATACCAGCAGCCTTTTCGTTATGCCGCAGAAAGCCGCAACGTGTTGTCTTTGATAGGAGAGGCACGGGATGGGAGCTTGAGGTGGCGGTACATAGTCATTATTGCGGCTGCGATAACGTCCATAACGTTGGGGGCAAGTACTAAGCGGAAAAGCGGCAATCGTTCAGATGTTTTGGATGTCATGCGTCGGGGGTACTTTCTAAAGTTGGACGACTAATCTTGGAAAGGAAAATGAAATGGAGCGTTTTTCGGCGGGCGTGTTCTTTGAAGACTAATGTCAAAAACGCTCACCGCTCGCGTTTGTTCATGACGTCAGGCTGTGAAGTGTCATGTTCTAGCAAGTGTGCTCGTCTGCCTGTGAAGCGACCGGAGCTAGCCGTCTCCCCGCCCGTCCCCTGAAGTCGGTTGGTTCCGCCTGGTGTACCGACTCGTGTTTAACTGGTCGTGTCTGTCCGTCGGCCGTCAGCCTTGGGTCGACGGACGTCATCACCCAACTAGCCGGCTAAATGACCCCGTTTGTCACCATTGGAGCGTCGCAGTGAGACCCGCCAGTGCGCGCCCTGACTGATTGTCGCTTCTGAGCGCGCATGGGTCAGCGCTGCAGCAGCCAGCCGCCTGGTGGTACGCTGGTCTGTACGCCGTTACCCCCGTCAGTCGCCGTCAATTGACAGCCCCTCGCCCGGCAGCCTGCTGTCGCAGTGCAGCGAGCTGCGCCTGCTGGACGTCAGCTTCTGCAGCCAGGTGTCTGAGGCGCAGGTGGCGCTCTGGCGCCGCGCCTACCCCCGCTGCACCATCCAGCGCTCCTACAAGCCGGCCTAGGCGCCGGCGGCGAGAGGACCGGCGGTGGCACCGCCAGTCGCCGCTGAGACCTGGAATCGCGGGAGGGGGCCTGGCAGCGCTGTGGGCGACGCTCGCCGCGGTGCGCCGGAGAAGTCACGTGACTCGCTGGGAATTGCGTGTAGGGAGCCATTGTGAGGTCAGTGCCGGGCCGCACCGGTGCGTCGTCTACTTGCACCGGAGGAAAGCGCCGGACGACGTTGGCGTGACGTTCACCTGCGCTGTGGACCACACCGCCATCCGGGCCGGCTGGGTGAGGCGGCCGAGGCCAAACCCGGGCCTCTCCCCTGACGCGTGCGTGTGGGAATGGTCGCAGACGGGCTCCTGGAGCCGCGCGATGCGGCCGAGACCAAACCGGGGCCTCTCCCCTGACGCGTGCGTGTGGGGATGGTCGCAGACGGGCTCCTGGAGCCGAGCGAGGCGGCCGAGGCCAAACCCGGGCCTCTTCCCTGACGCGTGCGTCTGGGGATGGTCGCAGACGGGCTCCTGGAGCCGAGCGAGGCGGCCGAGGTCAAATCCAGGCCTCTCCCCTGACGCGTGCGCGTGAGGAGGGCTGCAGACAGGCTCCTGGAGCCGAGCGAGGCGGCCGAGGCCCCACCTGGCCTCGCCCCTGACGCGTGCGTGTGAGGAGGGCCGCAGACAGGCTCCTGGAGCCGAGCGAGACGGTCGAGGCCCCACCCGGGCCTCGTCCCTGACGCGTGCGTGTGAGGAGAACCGCAGACAGGCTCCTGGAGCCGAGCGAGATGGCCGAGACCCACCCGGGCGTCGCCCCTGACGCGTGCGTGTGAGGAGACATGCAGCGTGGCGAATGCAGTACAAACTGGGGCCAGAAGTGTAGCCGGCGCCTCGTGTCCTTGTGTCGGGGCGGATTTCTCAGGAATGGACAGCCTGGCGCTGCCGCTCAACTGCACTTTGATGCTGCGACCGACGCACCCCACGACAGCCGCACTGGGCTGGAACGCCGTCTGGCAACGGCCAGTCACTATGATGTTGTCATGCGTCTCTTCGCCAATACAATTGTTTTAAAATAACGGCGTGTTATATTGTGGTAGTGTACATTGCTGCGTCTTGTTTGAAGTGCGAAACATCTGAACGGGTTGGGATTGTTACACATCCTTGACGCGAGCAAATGCCCTGCGTACAGCTGTTGTTACATGCTATGACAAAAGGCTGATGTTTAGACAGCCTGGTTTCGTAACAAATTGGCTATTAAACCAAGGGATTATTGACGTTCCACAGCGCATGCAACCTGGGTGGAGAGGTTTGTTGTTTGTTTGTTCATTGGTGTTTTCAGGCGCGTCGACTTCAATGGCCATTTTGCGTCATGGGTGGAGGGGTAAAATAGGTTATGTGGCGTACAAATACTGAAATAGATGGACTGGTGCGTGCTTTAGGTAGATGCAGCATGTTAGTTTGCCGTGTCTCTGAACGCACTGCAAATGCAGAGGGCCAGAGAAAGTCGTTGTAAGGTTTTGTCACCACGGTCGGACCTGCCTAGTCCAAATGATCCTGATTCTAACGCTGTGCTTGCCAACCGCTCCTCTCTCCAACCGTTATGCGCGCGGCACTGCCCGTGCCATCCATGGAAACTGCACCCATGTCCTGCCTTATTTTCGTGTAACGAGACCCAGTATATAGCCGCCTGGAAAAGGCGGCGGTTCCCCACAGCATTTCAATCGGGTCGCCAACAGTTGCCAACCAGTACCCTGCATGCTTTGCAACTGCTCACCAGCAGGTCAAGTGTGCGGCCATCCAGACGCGCAAGGTCGTCCGGGGGTCTCAAACGTAAGGTAACCAGCGAGACTGCGGCGTCGGTTTGAGGCCCACTGGGTGCGCACGTGACGACGGGACCTGCCCGGCTAGTTTTTGTTCGGACACAGCCGAGCCAGGGCAGCGGTTCGGCAGGAATGCGGCTCAAGCTCGGCTGCGGGGGGGGGGGGGCAGCGACGCACGAGCTGCCCCGGCCCTGGCCCGGGCGGAGGTCAGCAGGCGCCCTAGCCGTGCCCAGCAAACGAATGCAGTAAACGAACGGCCGGACGTGCGATGGGTAAACATCCCACGGCTTCAGGCACACCCGCGCGCACAGCAAATCTACGGACTCGTGCCGGGTGGAAGGTAAACAAGCACACGCCATTGGTGTGGAGGAGTGGGCCCGGCACCGGGAGGCGATAGCGCACCACCCGACTTTCCCTCAGCTCTGCTCAGCGTTCGTAATTGGCACAGGTAGTACCGCCATGCACTGTGCGAGCAGCCCGAACTGTGCAAGCCGTTGGAAACAGCCGCAAGTGGAGAACACACGTTAAAGACGTGGCGAAAGTCAACCAAGCCGCCAAGAATGACCGTGGCTAACGTACGGACTCGATTTGAGCAAGCTATGCTTGGGTCCGTGATCAGGCGCCGACTGCAACTGGCAGATTTCGACTTAAGATAATGCTGACGGCAACACCGTCCTACCTCCCACTGGTCCGCCTACTCCACATTGCATTTGAACCCGAAAGCGAACTGGGTCTGACAGTAATCCGGCGTCAGGTCGAGACCGTTGACAGGTCATTTGCAGCCGGTAACGGTGCGGCTGCCGCTCCAAAGCACCCCGAAACCAAAAAACACAATGCTGAGTTGCACTCGGCTATACTTTCCTAGAGTTGCATACAGAGCGCCCTGTACGGCAGCGCCCGCTCACACCGAGCTTGGAAAACACGACAGCGGCGGCGCCGGTCCGCCGGGAAGCACCCGGCTCTGTGCCAGCAGCCGGGCCGGCGAGCCTGGACAGAGGACCTGGCTGGTCCGCGGCGACGGTCCGGCTGGGGAAGACAGCGGCGGCGGCCGCCCGAGTGAGATCGCCGTGACCGGCCGGCGGCGCCGGGCCCGCCTGCGGACGGCCGCGCACGCACACCAACACAAACACATGGGAATCAGATCAGAAAATAATGCTTTGAACTAGACGTGACGTGCAGTATAAACCTGTAAACTAATTACATGTATGCGTAATTGCCGAATGTACACGTTCTGTACAGTAACAAACCACGAATCAAATCCAAGGCAACGATGCATTGACTGATTGACTGGAGCTTCTGGAGCTTTGGGAATTCATTTGTACACAGCGGAGCCCCTCACTGCGGCAAGACGCACAATTTCCTGAGACCACCCTCGAACACGATGCCGGCTCCGCCCTGTAAGGCAAGAAGGGCTTGATCGCGAAGAACATAAACAGCTCATCTGGCCTATGGGGGTCGGCGGCGGGGCGGACGGGCAGGAGAGGCCCGGCCCGTTATCTGGCCGGCCGGCGACGGCCGGCGGCGCCGGCTCGCACTGTGGCCGCCGCCCGGCTGACGGCGCGCTGCAGCAGCCCCGGTCGGCGGGCGCGGCTGCGCGGCCAGCCGGTGCGGTTCTTGCGACGCCGGCCGCCCCGCCTGCGTGACGCCGACGCGCCGCCGGAGGCCGTCGAGTCGGTGCTCACGCTGCAGCTGTCATCGGCCGGCAGCGTCGGCGGCGATGCCGAGTCGAGCAGCGCGGCCGGCCGGCGCGCGCAGACTGGCTCGGCGCGCAGCAGCGCCACCAGGTCGGGCGGTTCGGGCGGTGCCAGGCTGAGACCGCTGAGGTGCGCTGGCGGCTCGGGCTCCGGCTCCGAGCAGGAAGCCGTGCGCCGTCGCCGCCGGCGGCCCGGCGCCGGCTGCTGCTGCAGCTGGGCGCGCACCGAGCACGCGTCGTGCTGCTCCTGGGCGGCCGTCAGCAGGCTGGAGATGCTGGCCGCCACCAGCTGCACCTGCTCCAGGCTGCTGTCCCAGAGAGCCACACCCTCAGCCGCGTCCACCGAGCAGCGAGCGGCGCGTGTCGACGCGTGACAGCGCGGCGACTTGCGCGCCGTCTCGGCCACCAGCAGCAGGCGGCGGTGTCTGGCCTTGCTGGCGTGCGCGCCGTTCGGCAGCGCCGGCGCCGGCTCCGGCGGGAACAGCTCCTCCTCACTCATCTGATACGGCAGCACGGGCCCGCTGGCGGCAACGGCTGCCGCCAGCGCCTCTACCACCGGCTGGCCATCCGTCTCGCGCGCATACGTCTGGTACCACTGCTCGGCGCCAGGCGACGACTCGAACGTGTACGCCAGCTGGCGCGCCGCCGCTTGTGTCGGCGGGGGCACCTCGTCGGCTCCATCTTCAGAGTCGCTGCTGGCGGCGGCGGTGGCGGCGGCGGCGCGCTGACCAGCCGGCGGGTGGCAGCCGTGCGCCGTGCCGCAGTGGTAGCGGCCGCGCAGCCGACGGCCGGCCGACGCGCCGCGCCGCACCACGCGGAAGCTGTCGCAGCTGTCCTCGGGTCCGACCTCGTCGGCCGCACAGAAGATGGACTCGTCGGCCTCGGGCCGCGGCGGCCCAACGTCGCTGTCGCCCGACAGGCGCCGGCTCGAGCGCAGCTTCGAGCTCAGGATCTCTACCTTGTAGTACTCGTGGTTATCACGCAGCAGGAGGCTGTCGAGCGCTACCCGTTTCCTGGCGGGCGCGGCCGGCGCCGGCTCCTCCCAGGAGGCCGCCTCGGAGCGGCGCCGCCGCCGCGGCCGCTCGCCGTTGCGGTGCGGCGCCAGCAGCGGAGCCGGCGGCCCGTCGCCGCCGCCCAGTCGGCCCGGGATGTGGCGCAGCTTGGTGGCGAAAATCTCCGTCTTGTGACACTCGGAGCTTAGCATGAGCTTCTGCGCCTCGGTCAGCCGCTTGCGCGCCGGCTCCGGGCCGTGGCCGTTGCAGCCGTTGTGCAGGGGCGCCGGCGAGTCGGGCTCGTCGCCGGGCGGCGGCGGCGGCCGCTGCCGGAGCGTGCGTGCCGCCGGCGGTGGGAGCGCCGACAGCCGCAGCCGACGGTCGGCAAGTTCGCCATCCGGCTCCGGCGGCTGCGGAGCGACGCCGGCGGCGGGTCAGGCGGCCGTCCCAACACGGCACGGACGGCTCGTCAGGCGGACAGCAGCCCATCCGGCGGACATGCCGCGGCGCAGACAGCCGCGGCGGCTCATCTAATGGGCATATCGCAACGGAAATGGGCGCTTCGTCTGCCAGATATATCACGGCTTATGTAGGGGGAAGGGAAGTCAGACATGGCTCGCCCTCTAGCGGATGTACCATCATGAACACGGGGATTACCAATGTGACACCGACGTATGTCAAACTGACAAACATGGTACATCAGAGCCACATGATGTGCCAGCATTTCGTTAGATGCACATTAAAACAAAATGGTACATACCTTAAGAAACAAACCAGAAGCACGGAGAAATTGCACCTGTTGCACACATGAGTTTCTTATCAAAACATAATCGGCATCACATGCATACCAGCTTACAATTACATGTGCAGCCTGTGAGAATGTGTACACTCCTTTAAGTGTCAAAGAAAAAAAACATGCTTGGAGGTTTGTTGGCTAGGAGCACATCAGAATTACCTCCATGCACGACTTGGAGACCCGCTTGCCCAGCTTGTTGTTGGAGATGAAGACCTCCAGCGAGAGGTTGCTATGAGGTGCCGTCGTCGCTCGCTTGACGCGGCTTCGCCCTTCAAACAGCCCCATTCAGACCAGAGTTGGTCTTCCCCCGATGTTCACCAGTCTTTCCACCTGCAATAAGATACACTGATGTAGTATCATATCCCAACTTTCACAAAGAGCCATGCCACATGTAAGGCAAAAAAGTTCAGCCTGGCCATTTGTAAGTGCAAAACACAACCCTATGCAATTTTCCACTTGCTGCTGTACAATCCCTGGGATACAGCACCTTAGTTGGAGCCTAACATACATCTCGCATTCCTTATCTGAGTGGAATACTTTGGCATGGGCATTCTGCATGGCCTCTGACTTCCATGTCACAACATCTATGGTGTGGCATCGCTACTCAACTGCTTTCGGGATACTGTACAAATACTGATGAGTGACTGTTGAACTCTGAAGATGGACAACAAAAAGAGTTAGCTTTATTTAAGATAGCATGAGCATGACAAAGTGCAAACATTCTTGGGGCAGAGCAGGGCTACACAGGTAAGAATTATAAGCAAAGGGCAACCCTTTTCTTTCCTCTTTTTTAAAATAAATTTCATTCCCAAATGGTTTATGTGGGTGGCTATATGTTTCAGATACTTGACAGAGCTTGTTGTGCATGCCATGAATCTACTAGCAAAGGGGTGCAAAACCATTCACCAGATAATTTGGTCTCTGCCATTTCACCAGACAGGACTGCAGAGTTTTATTAGTCTGTCCGAACAGTGGTTTGAGCACCTGCTTTCCAATCCATCCAAGCCAGGCAGGGTGGGTTTGAGTCCCTTAAGGCACTCACTATTGGCCCTCGCAGATGCGGCCCACCTCCATTGGCAGAGGTCACATTCAAGGCCAGGTGATGTCAGAGGACAGGATGGACCATGACAGGCACTGCAGCACATTACACTTTTGCCACCAAAATCTACTGTTGATGTGGAATTGTCTGATTGAATGGCAGGGGTCAATGCTCAAACACAGACTACTTGGTGTGAGCTCTGACCCAAGAATTCTATCAATTATACATTGATTAAGGCTGTTATAAAATCAAAATGTGCCATGGCATGTGTTGTGTTGTGCATGTGCAAATGTGTTGTGGCACTGCTGCCCAGACCTGGCTTGACCCTTGTTGATCAATGGACAGCTGATCCTTTCATGTCAGTTGGGTCAATGTGCCCACCCCAGGACCTATACCCAATGTCACTTGTACTCAGCAAGCACACCATGGATTATGAGTCTTGAACTTTTCCTCCCAACTATGATGACAGCCTTAGCCTGCCTTCCCTTCCCCTACCCCATGGCTATCACCTTAAAATGGTCAACAAGTTGTTCTCCTTGTTTTGCTCCTATCTTATCTGGTGCTGCAAGCAAACTCACCTTACATCCTACAAAAAAGATGTGATTGATTTTCAACACAGTTCCACATTTGGGACAGGAAACTCAAGATTTGATTTCATGCTTGGTGTCTGTGGGCCCCTGACATTGCCTGAAAAAATCCAGGGATTCTTGAACCCCAGTTTTTCAGTACTGTTTTGTCCAGCTGTGCAGGTTGCACTGATGGGACACATGCTATGGTGGAAAGCTAGACAAACTGCACTTGCATGACAAAAAAAGATGAGATTTAGGCAAATGGGCATAAGGTGCCTCTAACAAGACTTTTTGAGCAATCTTATCTTTAACAGGAAATTATGTTTAAGATCATTTCAGTGTTGACAGACTCAAACAGCAATACAGGTGCTTGTAATATTTGAGACATGTCAAATCCTTAGAAGTATATATTATACTTTATATAAACCATGCAACTTAGAAATGCTAACACTTTCTATTTTCCAGAATATGCAAATTTTAAGATGTGATCAGCCTTTGGACCACAGTGGCATGACTGGCAGCCTGTGAATACAGCTGAGCATTTACATCATCCAAAAGCCTCCAAACCTCAGGTTAACAGGCCCAAGTTTGGCCTGCAGGACCAAAAATATAGCCCTATAACAACAGGCTGTATGCTATAAGCTATGAAAATCAGTGACTGTGCAAGCTGATTGTCAGCAGCATGTGATCAACAGTGGCCTGTAATGTACACCAGTCAGGAAAAAAGGCATTCACTTGGCTGCACATCAGTAGTATTGAAGCACTGTACCTGGTGCTTGCATATGCCGCAGTCAGTTGGGCTAAATTGCACTGATTGAAGGCATTTTTTCTTGATGCCACATATACCAATGTTTTTGAACATATTCATCCATGCTCTGAAATTAGTAAAGACCACATACTGTCCTAGGGGTACTTATATTTGTGGTTTAGATACCTGAAACTGTCTCATAAACATCACTACTTACCTGGACATGACCTTCATGCCCTGCACTTTTTCAGCATGGACCACATAATTGTAAGGGAAAGACACCTTGCATTTACACTATATAAAAACATTAAATTGAGCATGCCCAGCATCAGAGCAACATAGAAGCAACACACTGTACCTCTTGACACTCAAAAGTTAGGTGCACAGTTGTCATCAATTTCAGCCCATAAAGCCATTATTTTAGGATATTACAATGTTGAGAAGAAAATTTTAAGCCAAAGTACACCAAAAACATTTTGCACACAAAACAATTTAAAATCCAGAATTATTTGGGTAGGTCTGAGTTCACATGAGAACACAAAGTTGAGCACACTCACACTGACAATCATTCTGCTCAGTGAAATAACTTTTTGCTAACTGGTCTGTTGTTAAGTAATAATGATGTGCTTTGACAGTAACCAGCAGTAACCTCAGATGCAAGCTTATCCAAGCTATTGTTAGGAGGATAACATGCTTCTGCTTTTGGCTCCAACAGGAATCATTAAGCATATAGCCCAGCCAAACAACTCTACCAGCTCAGGTGAGCAAGGGATGCGCCGCTTCTGTCTACTTGTATTCGTTTTTGGGCATTAGCGATGGCGCTCAGAAAAAGCGTGCATCTAAAAATAATCCAACATGCCATAAATGGAACATTAAGCGGCAATTCAACCCGCTCAAAACCCAAATGTATGATTACCCCAACAACATCGACACTCAACTGCCACCACCAATCGCTTGGATCCGAGCAGTGAAACATGTCCCACAATAACTGACACCTAAAATGCTACCAGTGGTATGGGGAACTTCGTACCTTTGGCAAACTATATATAACACGCAAACTAAACTAGCTTCCGACATCTGACCACCGAGGATCTCAAACACATCCAATCTTTGTCAGAGGCCACTGTTTTTCATACAAATACAAACGTACGTGCAACTGCCATTAACACAAAACACTATTCTTTGCAAGATTATCTCAGAATAATGTAATTTAAGACTAACTTGATCTCCAATAAATACTTAAATGTTACAAATTACTACATTTAAACAAAAAAATATAGTAAAATATTTAGATATTATTACATAATGTTCGCTTCTGGATCTAGGCAGCTGCAGTTGAACAGGCTGCCGTAGCGGGAGGCATTAGGAAGATGATAAATTTAACACATCGTATTTCTTTGTAACGTGATCAAGCTTCAATCGCCCATGGTACTTATTTTGTTTCTAAGCACTCAATCTTTCTTTGAACAAGGTATTTGAGTGTTGCTAAGCTAAAAATTATCCTCGCGCGAAAATTAGCATCTCTTAAATTCCCATCAGGTCTGTCAACTCGCCGCATACAGTGGAGTACCATTAAAGCCAACAGCGGCGTTTTTGTTCTACAGCTGGCGCCACTGTGATCAATTTCAAAACTGTGCTGTGGCTAGATCTTACCACGAACGTACCACTTCACAGTCATGCGGGTAAAGCTTCGCCAGCAATGAACAAGGTCTCGAGATCATGTGTGGCGCGACGGATTGAACGGCGTTAGGCTGTTTGGGTGGGGAAAGTGGCGGCGCGTCTGACTGAGCGGCGGGCGGGGGATCGACCCGCGGCGGGGCGACGCCCGCCCTCGGAATTCGCAGCTGCGCCGCGAACGGTGGGCAGGAAGCGCGACCGGAAGGGATATCAACGGCCCAACGTCACATACGGGCCGCCGGCATTGCTGGACCCCTGCACATGTTTCTGATAGATGTTAACGGAGGGATGCGGTAGCTGATGCTATGCGCCTCCAGTTTTCAGGTTAGATTATGTCCAGGTATTTAAATGCTTCCTGAAAACGTCGTTGGTTTTTTTTTTTGCTCAGGTCGTAGGTGACATTTCTCCTCCACGAATGATTCTTAAGCATCTCCAGCTGAGAAAATGCACCCCGTAATGTAAGTGCGATGTATGCCCATGCTGCGCATCCACACACATCAAGACCCAGGAACATACACTACCAAATGGTTGCCATAGTAACGGAATAGCGTCTTCAGATCAGCTGTCCTGTTTTTTCGAGCAAGCGCGGTATCCACGTGGTCGTAGCGGGGTCTATCGCGCGTTAGGATCACGCAGGTTTGTTTATACTGTGCTGCATGCATTGAACTATTAAGAAATTTGTCTGACGTGCTACACATCAGGTCAGTGTTTGTCAGTGTGCGTGTCATGTCCAGTCTCGTCTGTGTCGCGTCACAGGTCAGAAGTTTGAGGGGGGGGGGCGGTCAGGTCGGTGTTCAAGGTGTTTCTTTAATGCAGTTCCGTGAACTTATCATGCAAGTTCAAAGTCAGCAGGCATGAAACAAAGGCGGCTATAGGCTTGCTTTAACAGGGAGTCAGCGGTATCTGGCTGTTAAGTTTGGAAGCTTACAAAACCAGCATTATTTGAGATCGCGCCTAATCGTAGTGTTACACGCCTTCTTTTACTTTGGTTCCTGCACCACCGACGGTGGTAGGGGCTACGGAGGAGTTGCAATGGTCGTGTACCGTCGTACTGAGGAGAGACTGCGAGGCATTAGCTGACATTGTGACGTCACTGAGAGCAGTGTTGTATCGATCACACGCCACCGCTCTGACGGATCACCGGAGTATGTAGCGTCACTGGTTACGAGTGTTTACAGCCGCCGCCAGCAGTTTTATGTTCTATCTTCACCTTTCGTACCTGCCTACAGCAAGTGTTCGTGTGCTGAATGATGGCTGTGTCGAATTATCTGAGTGTGTGCGTGACTGGTCATGAGTTTTCACGGTGTTTTTTGGGCCGACTGAAGGCCATAAGGCATCAGCTAACGATATGATGTCACTGATACCCGACTCATCGTGTGACTTCACTGGTCCTGAATTTTTGCGGGCTGTTTTGAGACGACGAAAGGCCACAAAGCATCAGCTGACGATATGGCATTACTGATCTTCGACTAAACCTCAGGTGCAATAGGCCATGTTCCATTCTTAACTTTCTACTTGGCTACTGCAAGGATTCGCGTGCTGAATGGTGGCCCCGCCGAATCACCTCTGTGTGTGACGTCACTGCTAATGAGTATGCACGGTTTCACTTGGGCCGCCCAAGGCGACGAAGCATTATGTTCTGTGAGACATTACCGGATGATATGACGTCACTGGTATTCGACAAAACATCGGGCGCAGCAGGCCATCTTCTATCTTTCCTTTCATGGCAGTATAGTGCAAGTATTGGCGTGCTGATTGAAGGATCTGCTGAGTCACCTGAGTACGTGACAGCACAGGCCATGAGTTTTTTTACGGACTCTTTTGGGCCGACTTAAGGCGATAAGGCATCAGCTATTATGACGATATGATGTCAGTGGTATTCGGCTTAACATCAGGCGCAAAAGGTCATGTTCCATCTTTGCCTTTTTACCGGTCTACTGCAAGTATTGGCGTGCTGAATGATGGCTCACACTCAGGTGATCTGGCAGAGCCTTCATTTAGCACATCAACATTTGCGGTAGGTACGGTACGTCCGAAAGGTAAAGATGGAACATGGCCTGTTCCGCCAGACGCTTAGTCGAATACCAGTGACCTCATATCATCCGGTGGTGCTTCACGGGGTATGATGCTTCGTGGCCTTGGGCGGCACACGTAAACCCGTTTAAACTCATGATCAGTGACCTCATATACTCAGATGACTCGGTACAGCCTTCATTCAACACGCGAATACTTAGAGCAGACAGGTACGAAAGGTAAAGATGGAACATGACTTGTTGCTCGTGGTGCTAAGTCGCATACTATTGACGTCATGTCGTTAGTTGATGCCTTATGGTCTTCAGCCGGCCCCAAAAAAGTGTAAATTTTCATAATCAGAGACGTCTCACCCTCAGCTGATTCGGCAGAGCCTAGACGTCATATCATTGTAGATGTCATATCGTCAGCTGATGCTCTATGGCCCTAAGCCGGTCCGAAAGAGGCTAAAAACTCATGGTCAGTAATGTCATACACTCAGTCGAATGCCAGTGACGTCATATCGTCAGCTGATGCTTTATGGTCTCAAGTCGACCTAAAAGAGCCTGTAAAAACTCATGGTCAGTGACGTCACATACGTGATTCGGCAGAGCCTTCATTTAGCACGACGCCAATACTTGCAGCGGGCGGGTACGAAAGGTAAAAATGGAACACGGCTTCTTGCGCCTGATGTTTAGTCGAATGCCAGTGGCGTCATATCATCCCGTGATGCTTCACGAGATATGATGCATCGTGACCGTGGGGGCCGAAGGGAGCTCGTACAAAGTTATTATCAATGACGTCACACACTGGTGAGCCTTTGTTCAGAACGTGAATGCTTGCAGTAAGTAGACAGGTACGAAAGGTAAAGATGGAATATGGCCTGTTGTGCCTGATGTTCTATAAAATACCAGCGGCGTCATACCATCAGTTGATGCCTCACGGCATTCAGGCGGCCCTAAAGAGCCCTAAAAACACACGACCTGTGACGTCACACACTCAGCCGAATACCAATGACGTATCGGCAGTTGATGTCTTGTGGCCTTCCGTCGGCTATACAACCCAGTGACGTCACAACGTCAGCTGGTGCCTCAAAGCCGTAATGTGGCGTGACAGTAGACACACTGCCAGTCAGCTAGCTCTTCCCTCCATCGGGGGGGGGGGGGGGGGGGGCGGTACGAAAGTAGCATTTTACTGCGTTACGCTCTAAGACACAACTACCCCTTGTTACACTCCAATTGCGCTCATCATACCCCAACCTCTCGGTACTCCATGCGTGACGTAAGATACGGAGGGTCCCTTAGCCAGCTTGCTCACACTTTAGACTGAAACTGTGGCTGTGTCTTTCAGGACCTGCCCAGGGCGTTCGGCTGCCGAGGCGATTGTAACACTGTGAAAACAATTCACATACATAATCCGCTGAAAATTCCACAGGGCCTATTGCCAGTTCCATTGGGGACAGCGAGGGCGGCCGCAGGAAGCCATGCCACAAGTGTACGTGCCGGCAAACCTGCCATACGACGCCGTGCTGCTGTCCCGTGAGAAATGGAACTCGATTCGGGGCCACCTGACTCGCGAGCAGGAGGAGGCTGCTCGCCGCGAGCGGCAACGACAGGCCGTCCAGCAGCGGCAGGACACTTCCAAGCAGATGAAGAACGACTGGCCCAACACGCTGGCGGTACGTTTCGCTTGCAGCCTCCGCGGTCCTATTCACAAAGAGCGGTCATTCTGATGATAGCTTTCCAGTTTGGCAGGGCTTTGTCGGACAGAGCTTCCGTGGTTCGTATTTACCCCATGCGAAGTTTTTTTGTGTAAGTGTCGCGTTGCGAACGAATTTCAGTAGTCGAATACCAAACAAAGACCGGACGACAGTCAGAGCACATTCGCCAAATTTCACCGAATATGGGACAAAACCATTTGGCTTTTGCAGTAAAATCTGGAACCGGCGACTGTAAACTGGGAAGTTGTTGTAACAGGTCATTTCGTTGTAGCAGGAGTGTAAGGCCGTACGTCGAGATCTAGCCCTGGTGTCTGGAGCCTAAACCCGTGGTCCACCCTCGTCAGCTCCTGAATCCGAGACCAATCGTACTCATGTATTATCACTCTCAGCCGTGCGAATGTGTATCCGAAAGTCCTGAGGTGAGATCGCCATGGATAAAACTTGGACAGGGTGAACAGGGTGCTCGTCGCGCTCGCCGTCCACGTGGCCTAGAACGGCCTGCTGGTGGGCAGCCTTGGTGTCGCTCCCGGCGCGTGGCGCTGCGCCACGGCCTGAGGTGCGGCCTGTGGAGCCTCGGTCCGGCGGCCCGCGGGGGCCTGCTGGTGGGCGGCCTTGGTGTCGCTCCCGGCGCGTGGTGCTGCGCCACGGCCTGAGGTGCGGCCTGTGGAGCCTCGGTCCGGCGGCTTGCCGAAGCCGGGGCCGGGGCCGCGCTGCCGGCCGTGCTGTCGCTCTTGGGCCCGGCCGCCACGATGTCCCTCTGGTACCGGCTGGTTGCCGACGTCGCGATCCTGCGGCAGCTGCGGCAACAGACCTCGCCAGCGTGCCGCGAGCGGTGGACGAGGAGCCAGCGGCTCTCAGCACGTGGCGAGAGGACGCCGTGGTCTGGAAGAGAGCTGCCGCAGCGCGACCGGAAGCTGCGCCTTCAATGCTCAGCCGTGTTGGGGTTGACACGTGACGTTTATAACGGTAGCGCGGATATCTTATGTGCACCGCCCATCTGACAAGTCACTTATAGCCATTGTCGGCTGAACTGGCGTGTCAGTCTTCAGTCCGTCGTGCGACTGTGCTGTGCAGGTTAGGCCGACCCGCTGCGTACCCAGCTCAAATGTGCAGACGATGGACTAATTCATGGGACATTGCTCACTGTTCAGCACCTAATCACGAACCTTGTGCGATTCGCTGGCCAAACAGCTCGTCGTGTTGGCATTGTGAACGGGGTTGATTATTTCGTTGGTTTGACGTAAGAGATGTTCTGGTTTACAGCTGACTCCCGGGATCGGCAGCTGGTTGCCATTAGCTCTGGTGCGGGAGCCGGCATGCGCTGTGAGGGTTAGTTTTTGTTTTTGTATTTTTAGGGTCTTTCTCGAGTCTCTTAACCTCTCCAGGGACGCACTGACGATTGTTGGGGACGTGCTTTATCTTTCGAATCCCTTCTGTCATCTCGGGGTATGATTGGCATGGCCCCCTGGTGGCTTTGTGGAGCCATGATGGCCTGGACTGTCTTTATTTTATATGGTTATGATCTGTATGTTACAGAATGGCTGCGGTTGACAACTGTCTGTGGTATGCGGACATATTTCCCATGTTTTATCTGTCGACGAGAGGGTGCAATGGCTGTGAGCCGT